TTTAACCGGATATTGCGTCGTGCCGGAAAAAATACAGTACCGTAGTTCCAAATTTAAGCATCAAAACACGCTGTTAGAAATGTATGAATTTGTCAGTGATCGGCACCCTTGCTTGTGTGCGTAGCAGCGACACGAAGGATCTTGCACTGGCACAACTCTCTGTTAGTTTTAGCCATGGTATAATAAGTAACTAACCATGGCTACCATGGCTAAAACCATGGTAGAATTATACAAGGTAGTCTCGTCGGCTGCAAAATCGTTCGGGTTTTTCCCCCTATCGACCCGAACCCATAGGAAAACACTCTCTCTCTCGCTCTAATTGTAGTGTCAATAGGGGGAAAAAAAAAGCCGACGAGACTACCTTGTACTTATTATGCCATGGTGCAGACCTTGTAGCCTATTCCATGAAATGACCCGTTATATTTCTAGTTTTTTCTGCTTTTTTTCCGAGAAAACTGAATGTTTTAATTTGCCAAATGCAATATGTGCAATAATAAGCTCATTCAGTTTTCAGTATTTAGAAAAACCTATGTTTTTGAATTTAATTTATTAAATTTTTCGTTTTAATTAAAAAATTAATTTGATTTATTTTAAAAACCTATTACAAACACAACAACCATAAAATAATCAAAAAAAAAATTTTATTTCTTCCTTTTGCTTAGTGCGTCTTCCGGTTATAACGACGAAAAATGGTCGGTCCCTTGAGAGTCGTTATAACCGGATTCTACTGTAGTATATTTCCATTGTTACTTTGTCAGAAACTATTGTTTTTTAATTATGTGGTTTATTTCTGAAATATACCCAATGTTTCCATGCTTTAAAGTTGAATCATTTATATCCATTTTATATGAATTTTTGATTCACATATCCGTTGCTTTTTTCTCTTAGAGAGCACAGCTGCTAATGGGCGGAAATGTTTATATATTAATGAAACAACTTATCGCATTGTAAAATTTTTCTGTTCTCTTTGTTTACATTATGCATATATGTACACATACTTTTAGAGGAATTAGGGGGATAATGAGGGAGCCGCACGCAGACAGATTAGAGGCGAGGAAACCAGCGAAGTGCTGGCAAAATACGAACGCTCGGCAAATACAAATAGTTTGTGCGATATCTCGGCAGAAACTTCCGCAATCCCTCAGAGGGTTAGAGGGATGGGGATTTGCCCAAGCAAGCACAAACACAAAAGACCGACTAAGGCCCCAGAACAAACCCTCAACAAGTAATGAATTACGCGTCAGACTTTCCGCACTCCTTTTAAGAGGCGCTGCAAACAATAAAAGAGCCAAAAAGGCAAAGCAGCTGAAAGCAGTTGCCAAAATGTTCCAGCAACTTTGAGGTACTCGCACTCTTGCCTTCCAGAATGAATAAGTGTACGTGCGAGGGTTGTGCATAAAAGCCTGCTAAAAAGTTTTGTTCTGCATTGTTATCAGCTGAAGGAAGCAGAATTATAAGGGGCAACCAGAAGCAAACAAAACATAAAACATGAAAAATAAACCCAAAATCAGCAGAAGACCAACACAACACAAGTTTTGACAAAAGATCTCGTTTTGCTGCAAGGAAGGAGTTACGATTCAGCTTTTGTGCTAAAGAAATCTTCGAAGGAACAACTTTCTTGGAGAGATAAATTAGTAGGTCAGTTGTAAACAGATTACAGGAAAAGAAAACGAAGAGCAAAACTAGAAAGAGCAACTTAATATAAGGGCAATAGGATTGAGGGACTACTGTATTCAAAAACCGGATATAAAGTAAAACAAAAAAGTTTTTCAAGTAATAAATCTTTACAGAATTACAAAGAATGTGAAATTGTTTGTTGTTTTTATCACAATCTAAAAAAAGGTATATAGTAAAATATTTACCATTTAAAAAGAATGTTTCTGAACGTCATTACAAATTGAAGGCACTTAAAACAGGAAGCAGTTGTTATGCAAGATATGTTATTATGTGATCTTCTTGACTCCCAACTACCTGTCACTCGACTGTCAAAATTGGATACTTCTATCCGCTCTCAAGCTTATCAAGTGCGCTTTAAACTGGGTTAAGGTTGCGTCTATCAGTACCGCCCAACCACTTGAACGTGCTGCAGAGTACAGTTCCGTTTGACAGCTGATACGAGTGCCACTCCCCCTGAGAACGCCCATCAATCCCTACGACATTCCGTGCATTAGATACCGGCAGCAATTCGATCTGAAGCCGAAACGTGCAACCAGCTTGAAGACAAAGAATATTGTATAATGCTTTTTTTCCCATGTACCACATTTTGACAACTGTTTTTGCTCGTTTTTGCTGCAAACTAAACTGTTTCCCTAGTTCTCGTTCTTTTTTATATCCAATAGAGAACGTGCAGACGTGCGAAATTCAAAAGAAGAAGAGGCCGTACGAGATGAAATTAAACTTTAGCTGGCATTTGCCCGATATTATACCACAACTATATATATGGCTCATAACCACTACCGCAAAACGGCAAAAGAAGAACGGCCCATGATGTAAGCCCAGTCAAAAGGAATGCTAATATGCGGAGTGATTAATTCATCGAAATTAACATAAATGGCAACAGCTTTAACTTTTGCCGCCCCACCACAGGTGGCCACCTATCTTCTCCTTACCTTTGGCCCAACCTTTACCCTTTTTCTTCACCCTAACGCCAGTGGCCGACATAAATAATTAAATTTAATTGCCGTTGCTGCTTCTTAATGATGCAACCAAGCATCAAACGAGCCAAAGAGCCGAAAAGACCTCTGAACCCTGGTCTCTTCTCACCTGAAACCCGTTTTTATGAAAATGGAAATGAAATTAAACGAAGCCCTCCGTCGTCACAGGCAACAAACGACAAGTGACAGCGATGAAGGTACATTTTATGAAATTAAGCAAATACTAAATGGAAATATAAACCACAAGAGAAACCTTAGAAAAGAGAGTTTCGCAAGCAAAATAAGTGTCATTTGCCCTTTTTAAGGAGTCGGTTTTTATTAAAATGGCTATAATAAGAAAATTATATTTATTTTATAAATGAAAAGTATGCAAATTTGTTTGCATTTTGTTTTCCAAAATATGTTTCTCATTGAAAAATAAAAAAGCAGACCACTATCATGTTGTTAGGTTAATGTGCACGTAAATTACTTTGCAATTTGAATGCTAATAAATTCGCCAATAAAAATGAGTTTATATTACTGTGGTAGTCGGAAGATGTTACCATTTCGATTAGCCAAATATTGTGAATGTAACTATATTACAATTTTTATGTCTAATGAATTCGCTAATAAAAATGCATAAATAATGGGAGGATAAAATATGGTGAATGTAGTGAGTTTGCTGATAGCAAATTTGCTCGACTTGACGGAAGATGGTAATTATTTTTATTTAGTTAACAAAATATTCCAATATAATGTCTTCCCCAAGAAAAGATAACGCTTGGCCCCAAAAGATATCTTGAGCAATCTAATCTTATCTAATCTATTTTTACACATGAGCAACTGGCAAAGACAGTCGCCCCACAAACCAGTTGAAAATAATACTTGACCAGCTGAACTGGTTATTTTTATTTATGCCAAAAAATTACAATCTAATGTATAATAAAAATTTTTGATTAATTAGACGGCTATAAGTGAAGTCTCTCTTTTTAGCCATGACACCAATCCGTTCCACAATCAACTGTCTTATCTAGGCGGGTCTAACTAACGACCGCCTTTGATAATTAATAACAAAAGGGGAAAATTCTAGCTTTTTGCCTTTGGCTTAGGGCGCGATTCTAGGCCAGAGAGTTTTTCAGGCAAAAACCAAAACAAAAACCCGGCAAAACGCACAGACCCAGACAGCCGAGGAACGAGGCTAAGAGAGTGGGAGTTGAGGAGGTGGGTGAAGTGCTGCCATGGCAAAGCCAAAGGCAAAAACAAAGCGGACCCATTCAAGGGTTCTCCTCATACACAAATACAAATATATATGTATGTGTAAACAAACACAGACACACAGTTACTAGGAGAGCAGAAGGCGGCTATAAAAATCAAATGAAATTTATTGATTTTTCTTTGCGAATGCCGAAAAAAAGACTACAGCCAGCAAAGTCAAGGAAATGGCCAATAAAAAGTAATTTGCAAACAAAACCATGTTCTTTTTCTGCAAAGAACTTTTTATACTCTAATCAAGGATAACGAAGCCAACGTAATATAAATCGTTCCCAACGGAAAGGACCTTACGAAATTAGCAATGCAAAGAAATTTTTAGCTTTAAAATAACTAACTAATTTAAATGTGAACTAAGCATTATTTCGTTTTTCAGAATATAAAACGGTTATCTTACTTGTTGCAAATAAGTCTTGGTTCTTTTTTTATTTTCTGAATCCCTTATATTTTGTTTTTTAATATATTTAAATCATAGACCTTTTTTAATTTAAAGGAATATATTTTGCCCATAAAAATTGAGGAACATTATCTTTCTTTGATAATCTGACCAAATTTCAATTAGGCAGATATGTATATTTTTTCGCCATGATAAGAATTAAGCTTTAAAATTCTTGTCGCGAGGCCGCAAGTTTAATGCTTTTTAAATTTGCAATTCTAAAAAAGAAAATCAGTTTTTTTGTGGGCAAGTATCTCAGACGGAATGCATGTTTATGTTTTGTATTGTTTTTGTTTTCTACCCGCAGACCAAGTCTAAAGAAGAGGAAGAGAAGACTAATGCTAAGACAAGAGCCAGAACATGGAGTAAAAAGAGGTGGCGAAAGAAGAGAAGGCATTGTAAAATGTCAGCCCAAGTTAACGGTGCACGCACACTAAGGCAACACAGTAAACAACGCAAACAACACAACAAACATGAATGTTTTGTTTGATCTGCTGTCAGGCGAGAAAGAGAAGGCGCCAGTGGGTGGGAGTGGTAAAGGGAGAAAGGGCGAGCAGCAGGTGCAACATGCCAGGAAGCGAGAGAGAACTTGCCGCCCGGTCGCGTGCTTACAAAAATTGCCAAGCTCTCCCTTCCAAACTGTTGTATTTTTGATAACTTACCCCGCTTTCTTCTCTCCTCTTTGCTCCTTGATTCTGCTGTCAAAAATTCCCAAGTTCTAATTCCGTTAGCGAATTTCACAAAAATATACCCCTACTGCGGCTGTGTGTTGTGTTTTTTTCTATCTTTGATTTTATTTAGTTGCTTTGAGCTATTTCGATTAGCATGCTTCAATTTATTTGGGGATTTTTCACACTATTAATTTGTAATTTCTGCTTATTTTTGCCATTTGCATATATGATTTCACACATGAAAAGAAACTTCACAGCTGACTGTGATTTGTTTCTGTTTCTGTTGTTGCTGTTGTCGTTTCGTTTTTTAACACACACAAACGGCGGGACACACGCACACACACCTGCGTAGGTGTGAAGAGTGGAAGAGGAAGAGAAATGCAACGGATTCACTTTAATACGCGCGCTCTCCCACTCGCACTTACGGACCGACCGTAAACCAGCTGACTGAACGGTCTAAAATCGACTGAATTTAACTGAAGAATAAAGATTTCCTATGGGGGTTTTAGCCGGCAACAGTGGATGTACAACATGTTTGAAGCTTCAGGTTCGAGTTGCAAGCTCCAAGTTTGAAGGGGTTGAGGGGAACGGGTGGGTGGGTCAGTTCTTTCTTTCTGATAAACACTCGCTGATAAGCCAACACACAGAAAGGGCCTTTGTTGTTGCCAACGACATTGTTGTAAGCCTGTGAATGACAAATGAGCCCGTATACGGCAAATGGTATATGGAATATGGAATTCGGAATAGGGGAATGCCATAGCGGTCAACTCTTTTGGGTAGGGGGATAAGATTGGATAAGACCTTCGCAGAAGGGCTCTGTTTTAGGTGATCCTAATCCTTGGTAAGCACATTTTAATACAGTAAGATTAAAACGTGAGTAAAATAAGACAAATAAAAACAAATAACTGTAACTATTAAAAGTTTTTGCAAAACAACTAAGGACTGCTTACTAACTAATAACCAATATTTTTTGAGTTCTAAAAAATGAACACTTATCAGATTCTGGCGTAAAAATGATTGTCATTCAATGTCTGAGTACATTTTAAAAAAAATTGTGTGATTCTAAAAAATAATTCAATTGTTAGACAAGTTCTGTGTTTTTTCTTTTTAGCTAACTTTATTTCTCAACTGCTCATCACTGTGGCAACATCCAACCCGGTGTGACCAACAGGTTCGCCTCTTTAAGCCGGCAAGCAACTCGAACCGTAACTTGCGTGTGTTTGCCACTGCACTTGTCGATAGCCAACTTCAAATCTGCATGCACGTGGCTCATTTGCATATTGGAGCATTTTTATTGGTTTTGTGGGGGGCACTTGAAAGCGGCTGCCCAAGGGAATTCGATTCGCACTGTTTTGTTTTTGGCATTCAACGAAAAAATTTTGATTTGAGGAACTCATTCAACTAAAGATTGTTAGGAACTGATAATTCACCTACCAACTATCTTTGCGTTTGACTCAGAAATTGCCAAGTGCACAAAAAAAAACCGACCACGAAATTGACAATTTGCAACACCGACGGAAGCTGTTTTTCAATTGCATCGGTTTGGCACCTCCCCCCGTTTTCCCAATTTTCCGCACTTTCCACCCGCCGTTCGTTATGGACTTTTCATTGGTTTTGTTTGGCTCTTTCAATTGAAACATGGCCAAGTTTTGGGGGAGCAAGAGAGACAGAACTATATGGAGAATGAGAGGACGACACCAATCAACTTTTTCCTCTGCGTTGCATTTTTCATTAGTTTTTCTTATGCAGCGAAAAAGTTTTCTTGGCCCCAAAACGAGTCTCAAGTTTTTCACTGTTTGTAGTCAACTATTGATAGCTCAAGTTTCTATTTATACAACTGCATTTTGCCATATTCTATTCATAGCATTGCAAATATTGGCAATATATCGGTGTAACTGTAAGTGCAGACTGTTCCGTTATCAAGTATTTATTTTTTCAAAACGCTTATAAGGAAATGTGAAATAAGAAAACAGTTTTAGAAATCGTTGGATGGATCTAAAATATAATTATAGATTTCTGTTTTTGTTCAAAAAGGCTTTATATAGATTAATGCTCCCATGAATATTTATTAAGAGCACCGTTTAAAATAATTAAACCATCTACTCTTTATGAGAACAATATTTTAAAAGCACTAACATCCCAAATGACTGGAAAAGCTCATTTAAATACAGCTGTGCCACCTGTGATTTTGATATGATGGCTGTTTTCGTTGGCGCTGCCAATTTGCCGACCAATTGAAAATGCAATGCACGCCCCAGACAAAAACTCATTTGCAACACTTCACGCAACGCCGGCGATTTCGATTTAGCCAAGATCAAGGGCGATAATGCCCGCAGCAGCAGCAACAGCAGCAACATCTAAAAGTTGCAACAACAACTTTGGCTTTATGTACGTTGCATTGCGTGCAACAACGTGCTGCAGATATAAATAGCCAGCGGCAAGAGCAACTGGGCCCTTATCCATTTTGGCTGATCTTTACGCACAGGAGGCAGCAACGACAACAACAGCAACAACCACAACTGCTGCAACATCTGCAACACAAACACAAGCTGCAACAACAACATTCTTTTCGACATTTAATTAACGATCGCGATTGCAATCAAAGCTGTTCTCCCACACTCTTTTCTCCCCTCACAGGTTTTTGAATGGATACTGGCAAGTTGGCCAGGTTTACTGGTGGCCAGTTAGTTAGTTAGCCCGGCTAAGCTGACAAATACTGTAATTAATTTTAATTGCAGCGATTGGCGCTCGCCTTCCGTCTCATTAAAGACTGCTGGCTGGCGCTGCTTTGCTCCCTTTTTCGCCTTCAGCTGCCTCGGATTTCCACTATGATAAGCCCCACCTTCTGATTTTGAAGTATGCTCCGGGATTCTGCTCGCCATTCTTGACTACGTGTTTTTTCGCCTAATTGCTGGAAATATCGCGTGGCAAATATTTTGTCGCCTTCACAAGGGCGTCCAATAAAAACTGAACGACAAACGGAAAAAGAGGAATATTTCAATAGATACACTGATGAACGAAAATTCTAGAAACATATTTGTTGTCAAATAAAACAAAATAAAAAATAATTACATAGTAATATGTAAACGATTTTATTCTTTTTAACCTGTAAATAAAAAATCTTATATATATTAAATTCACCATAACAACAACCATTTCAGATAGTATCTTATCACTAAAAATACTGGCTTACATTACTGTTTTATTAAATGAACTGTAAATTAACAGACAAATAATGTTACAAAAAAAAAATAGCTTTCCAATATTTTTTCTCTGTGTTATTTGGCACCCATATTTTGCCAACACTTGCACTTTGGTTTAATGGACTATAGAAAGTGCAAAATGCAAATAAAAATGTTCATTTCTCGGGTCCCCGGAGGCTCCCAGAGGAATAATCATATAAAACACTTTTCGTTTGCAGTTCATTGAGTGAGCACAAATCCAATTAGATTTTGACTCGGCTTAGCTTGCATACGCTCCCATCTCCCCCTCCCCAACTTCAAAAAAAGCCCCAAAAACATACGAAATTCCCCGGAAAACACACACACACACAAACACAAATGGAGTGCGGAAAATCGTTGCATACTTCGCAGCAAAAATTTTCTCAAGTCATTTTGCCTGCCATAACTCTTGACTCAACTTCAGTTTGTTTTGCTGGTGTGTGTGAGCGGATGTTGTCTTGTGTGTGTGTGTGTGTGCATGTATATATTTAACTCGTGTTTGTGTTGGTTTGAGGTCTTTAACTTGTGGGCTGGCAATCGGCTTGACACACATAAATGCCGCAATGCTGATTATTGATTTTGCAACCAATTAAAATTCCAGCACAAACAAGACTACGTAGCGATTTTATCCTCCTGGGATTAAACTACAAGCTCACATCTAAGCTGAGTGGCTTAAAGCGTTTTCAAAGGGCTTAGAATTCATAATTCAAGTCACATACGTAACGGCAAAAGTTAAATGCTAAACGGCTTTTGAAAATTATTTTAAAATACTGCTGTTTGTAAAAGTTTGTCATACTCGTGTGTAATTAAAAGTTAACCACTAATCTTCTAATCTTTTCAGAAGAGTAAAAAAGTATTATTTTTTCATGTACCCAATTTTAAATAAATCATTTTTATCTTATTTTATTTTAAATTATTAACAGTTTTTTAAATTTCTATAAATAAATATCTAATTGAAGTTTGGACAAATATGTTTCTTGAATCCACTCTAGTTATTATTTACTCTTTCGTAATCAACTCAGTTCCACATGAAATCCTTTATGTTTCAGTTAATCATTCCATCGATAGTTGCGTTCATACCATTCATGCTCAATTAAGCTGCTTAATTATGCCCACCAATCAGGCATTGAATGCGTAAAAACATTTTAATTATTTTTAAAAACAATATTTACGGTAGGAATATGCGCAAACATGACGGGTAATTAATCAATATTAATATCAACCTGATTACGGATATTTACCGTAGCCCAACGCCGACAGCCGAGATTAACATAAACCGTCAATGACAGGAAAGAAAAATAGCAAAAAAACAAGCCATAACGAAAAAGTTTTTGGCTGGGACACACAATTAAGAAGCCATAAACACATGGGGCAAAAAGCCAGGGGTGCTGGTCTGGATCTGGAAAAAAGCGCCGGCAGCCAAAAGTTGCAGAGTGCAATTTGAAAAACAGTAAATATAAGTCGCGAATGGGGAGAAATAGTGGAAGGGAAGGAGGAGGGAGGGGGCGGCAGGGGGTATAGGGAAGAGTTGTCCCAACACGTAGTTGGCACCGAGTCACGAAGGTATTTTCGCATACGAGTTTTCCCCGTTTCCTGGCGCAGGAACACCGCATGTATGTAGATGAGCAGGCAGTGACATGACTTGGCAGCTATTCCTATTTGGAAAGCTCCTTCCTCCTGCCACCGCCCATTTTCCTGACAAATGGCTCCAGGAGCGGGGCGTGGCAGTACAGGTGTTTTGCGGTAAAAGGGTGGGGCAAGCGCTGGGTAAATGGTAAGATGTATTCAGGCAAAGGTGCAGCTGAGAATGACGAAAATTTATGATGGTCCCTGGCTCTGGGGTTGAGTTCTTTATTGAATAGCAAAGGGCGGAGGACAAGGGGTTTACGATTTGTAACAAAGTTAAATTGAAATACCCAGAGGTTATCGAAAGGGGGTGTTTGAACTCCTGCCAAGAATACAAAGGTTAAAGCTTAATATTCTGGGACTGAATTGGAAATTCGGAGAAGAGGCGTATGCCTAACCAAAGTCGATTATTGTAGGTCCAAGGTAATAAAATATGTATTCAGTTATGTTTGGTTGATTTTCTTTGTCGTCTAAATAATTGATTGATTTATCGGGGTTTTGATACTACGAAACAAAGTTTAACTTACTAAAAAAAAACAAATAACGAAACATTAACAGATTTGACCCAATTAGAAACCAGCAAACTGATTTCTTGAGAAACACTCCGGAACGAAGAAAAGCTGGCCAAAAAGCAGAGAGGGACTTCAATTTAATTAGCCAGCCGGGAAGAAGATTAAGTAGGACCCCTGAAACAGTTCACTTTCAGCTCAGACGGAAATCCCCTCAAAGAAGGAATATCCTTTCACTACGGACGCCATTTATTGAAGTTGTGCGAATGCTTTTAAAGCTCCCCCATTCACGAGCATCGGCTTATGCACACACACACACTCGGGTATTTACTCATCTGGCTGATGCAGGTGCAAGGACGAGCAGACGCTTCAATGTCCTTGCCATGCCACCGCAATCATAATTAGTATCCTGTGAAGAGATGTGTGTGTGGCTCATGTTATATCGCACAACACCAACAAACTGTCAGATAGACAAACACAGTGGTGGCAGAAATATTAGTGGTCCTTGAAGTATTGTTCTGGATTATACTGATTCAAAGATACAAATAAACATAAGTAAAGGAATCTAATTCGTTTAACTAAGCGAAACCATGAACCAAAGTTAAATTTCCTGCTCATCTTATTTCCTTAAATGGGTTAAATGCTCGGACGTTTGTAAAGTATTTTGTAAAAGTTTCTTACATTGAACAAACTTTTTTTATCTAAAAGTGTTTTTTCACAAGCTCAGCAAAAGCAAAGCCTATGATTTTGCCGAGAAATATCCCGGCCAGCCGGCTTTGTTAGCCAGTGATATATTGGCATTTAAGCCGGGTCAGAACAACGACCGGCTGGCAGGCTATATCGCCATGCTGGGCCAGAGCTTTAAGGGACAGTGAATGAATAATGCCAACCAATTTGCCCAGGTGACAGGTAACGAGGGGACGAACGAAGCGACGAGCGGAGGAACGTAGGAACGTCCTGCAGCCAAGGACTTCATTAAACTGCAAAAATAGAATTAGAGCACATGGCAAAAGGCCGAGCTGCTTAATTACAGCTTAGACCTCAATTAAAAAGGCCCCAAAGGCAACTGAACGAGTGGCACAGGGTGTTGGAAAAGCAAACCGAAGAAAAAGTAAACATTTTCTCTCTGCCGGACAACAATCCACTCCGAAGTGCCACGGCTCCTTCATCCGATGACTGACTTTGCAGCGAGGGGTGAGTCGATGGTGATGACCATAAAACACCTTGGCTAATTTCCGCAAATTGTTACAGCTGACAACGAACTGAATGGGGCAAAACCACCCAAGAAATGGAGAAAGAAGAGCAAAATAATAAAGGAACAAGAAAAACACAAAACTGTGCAAGTAAGGTATGAAAATGAGTGCAGCTTATCTTCAAAAATGATTCAATTGCTAAAGGAAAGCGAAAAGAGAAGGATAACTTTGAGCTATAATTATCTTAGTGAATGGAAAGCAGCTGTTAACTACGTTTTATGCAGATAAGCTAACACATTCATGAAAGGAATGAAACCAAACATACTAGCTTGGAAAAACATATTAATCAATTAAATAGAACAATTTTATTACAGTTACAGAAACAGAATTGTAACATTTCGAAAGATTTATTATTCAAAATAAACTAGAGCAGTTCTCCATCACAAAGCCGGAAAATGGCGTCCCATCAAGTAGACATGGTGGGAATCTACAACCGCATAAATAAACGGCTTTAGAGGCTCAAACTTCAGTGGTCTTATCTCCTGGGAAAAAGCATCCGAACTATCCACCTTCAGCTGTTCACTCCTTTCCCTTTCCGCATTGATGCCTCGAGTAAAGATGTCTATTTCCGTGTAAACTATAACATCATCCAATGGCAACTCCGTTTTGAAAGCATCCAGGTCGGCGGCGGTCTTTATAAATACAGTGATAATGCCCGCCTTTTGCAGTGGCTCTCGTAAATTTAAAAGCTGTCCACATTGTACCCTCGGTAAGATAATGTTCATCAGGGTTATATTCAAGCGGCTGCGAAGCTTTCGAATATCCACTGTGGGCAATCGTCGCTCTACCTCCTCAATTTTAGTTCTTTGACTGGGAAGCAGGATCAGCAGAAGCGCACTGGAATCCTTGAGACTTAATCCCAGGACCTGGCTCCTAAGCTCCGGTATAAATCCGTGCCATGCCAAAGTCCGTTTGGCTGACAAAACCCGCTTTTCAACCTCGAATCCATACTTGAACTGGGCTCTAAAATCCAGGATGTTGAAGAACAGCAAGCGGTTTGCAGGATTATAATCTTCAAATAATTCCTGAAGGTCCTCATTGAACTTTCCATGGGATTTGAGTTTAAGAAAACTATTGAAACGCCTAATATCTCGTTGGGCAAATGGTGTCCTGTAAACAAAGGAATCCAGCTCGGCAGCATTTTTCAGGAAGTCAGGATCTATATATACATCCGGACGCAGCGCAGCCACAGTCACGGAGGTGAGGTCGCCGCTTTGAAGAAGAGGCCGAGCATCCAAGCCACTTGCACTGGCATTTTTTGGGTACAAGAAATCATCGATTTCCAACGCTGTTTTCGGGCCCGCGGCAAAAAGGAGCAATCCCAGGACTTGCGAAACTCCCAGCGGGGAGATCACAAGTCCTTGATCGCTCTCAACTTTGGTAGCGGCGACATAATAGTAGAGCTGTCCGGCATAATTGTAGTCTCCATAGTCTTCTTTCCATTTGCTTCTTGGTTCTGGCGGCTCTTCAAACTCGTCGACTTCTTCAGCCAAAATGTTTTCAAGCAAAAGGGGCAAAAGAAGTAAGCCAATAAAGGGCTTCATCGCTCGTCTTCACTGCCCTTAATCCCGCCCAGACATTGACTTTTCCAGTCGACATCGATTGGTCAGGGGGATTGCACAACCATTTCGCGGTAATGCCTTTATCGCTTTCCGCTTAACTTTACATTTTCCACGCTCCTCGCACAGCGATATCGAAGGAAAACGTGCATTTTTCTCTCAGGAGCTTCGACCTCGCTCGGCTGACGCCATAAATTTACAGCGGCAAAGTGATAATGAAAGTGTTTCCTTCCGTTTCAGCCAAACAATGTGCCAAGAAAGCGACACCAGTTGGGCAAAAGCCCTGGGGAAAAGGGTAAAATGAGGTACTTAAGTAAGTCGACTCTTAAGATACCTTAGAGTACGCGTCCAATAGGTGTTCATCTGTTGATATTGCTTATAGTTCAACCAAGAATGTTCACGGAAAAAAACAATTTTATCGTTACAATAGTGTGTTTTGTGTAAGTATATTAAAAATCATAAAACAAAGACCACTAAATCTGTATTATTACGCTAATTTATACGGAATTCATTTTTAAATGCTTATTTAAATATAATTGAAGAAGAATCTGTATCAATACAAATATATTATTTTTTTGGACATGCTTTCTAATTGTTTATTATAATTGTGGTAATTCTTCTACTATTTTTATGTTAATGCAGTGCACTCCATAAGTTGCTTAAATTTCAACTGGAATTAATCATATCAACCTACCCTACTTTCGATATGCACAACATACAGAAAAAGTCAGTCCGGAAAGGGCAACGTGGCGTATACGCAACTTGGTTACCTTCGCTTTCCTTCCGGCGGCGTCTTTTCTTTCGCTCCCTTTGCCCCACGGCCATCCATCTTTCTCTCTTTCTCGCCGCTGCGCTCCGTCGCCTTTTCACTTGGCTTGTTTATTGTTTTCCGCTCAGCAAGAGAGAAATTCAATTTCGGCGGCAAACATGCAGCAAGAAACAAACAAACACGCGGGTGAAGCAAATGAAACGCGGCAATTGCTCCAATTGCATTGCTCCGAGTGTAAATCTCGCGATTTATGCCTTGGGAAATGCTTCCCTTTCTTGAGTTTTCTTTTGTTCCACTCAAACATTTAATTGTGCGCTTAAAACGTTACTCGGGACAGTTGGTAAGAAATAATTAAAGGGCTCTGCATTTTCTTTCAAGGAAGTGAAGGTTGAACGGAGGAAAAACAAACGCCAACGAAATTCCAGCCCGTTTTCCGCATTTTGCTGGATGCGAAAAAAAATAAGAACAAAAATGACCAACTGTCCTCGGGGAACTTTTTTTCGGGGAAAATGCGGGGAAAATAGGATGCAGTGGATCGGACCGAAACACTTTGCACAAAATGGCTGCCAGCCAGTTTTAAGTTTTGTTTGCTCACTCCCGAACGCTTTTAACCCCCTCGGAAAACGTTGCTTTTGTTATTTGCGTGACATTTTTTCCGTTCTGGAAAACTTGAGGGGAAAAGCGGGAGAGAAGTGGCAAGAAGTGGGAATCACCAAATGGAACTGGTGGAAAAGTATGACAAAAGATTGTAGTGGCAAAAGTTTGCAGCAACGTTAATTAATTTTGCGTTTGCCAGAGCCTGCATTTCGGCATTGGGAAGATCAGAGTTCAAGTCCTTTCCCCGGCCAAAATCCATTTATATTGCGTTAATGAAGTGCACTAAGAAGTAGGATTCGCCAAATGGCAAGATGATAAAGTATGCCAAGGTTTAGTTCAATTTTTAAATGTACCATTCTAACTCTAATGCATCCTTTTATTTAAGCAACACAAAGATTTATATGTTCTTTTCGTTAAAGAAAAGAAAAAATACTTGTAAATATACTAAAAAAATCAACAGCTTTCTCTTTGCATGATTAAATAATTCAAATTTTATAACAATTGGCCAAGCCTTTCAAGGAATTCAGTGTAACTAATTTCAGCACTCCCCTTCATGCAAGAAATAATGTAGACAACTAAAACTAGTAGGTGCTAAAAGCTGAAACTACGCGAGCTCTGAAGTCACAAAATGAGATGTAAAGTAAACAAACAAGTGTACTTTAATATTTAAAACTTTTCAGATAAATAAATCTTATTTCAGATCCGATTTTGATAAAGCTGGTTGGGTTCCTTCTAATACTGGATTGCGCTACTTCCAATTTCAGCCTTACACCTCAACTGATTCACCAATCGATAGCGGGCGATAATCCCGATCCACCCGGAGTTCTCATCTACCATCCCGCAGTTCTGGATGCCCTCGAAAGCCTTTCAGTAATAACGGATGGCGACACCCACAAGGAGTTTAGTGGCTTGTATGAAAGACCGCTACCAAAAATTAGCCAGAGTTTATTTGTAAATCACACGAATACGCTACTTTTGAAAACAGATACTAAAGTACTCCCATCGGTTTGGGGAACTTTAGCCCCTTTAGCTTCTCTGAAATTCATGAACTTTGTATTCCCGAGACGAAGTCTTTTCAAGTTCAACGAAGCCCTGAAGGAAACGCATCAGAATTCCCAGTTTCCGTCCATCCTGCAGCGACGTTATTTGAATGTGAATACCCAACTGATGTCTGTTGGCACCGCCACAATGACCGCCCAATGGGCCGAAAGCCTGAGGCCTACTAACTTCGGCCTACAGGTTTTCCACAGCCAGCTCGATAAACACGGAGGAAATCGCTCCGTGGCAATTGATTCGCTGGTCATATTTGGGAATTTCCTCTTCAGTGAGTTTGATGGATTGAAATTGGTTCACCTTCCGCTGTCGAACAATGTCACGCTCCTAATTCTACTGAGTCCCCAGAACACCGATAATAAACCCTACAAGATACCAAATCAGTACGATCCAATAGATCTGTTGAAGAAAGGAAGTCCGACGAACGTAGAGGTTCAGATGCCCAAGATCGAGTTTGAATATCGCACCGAACTTGTGCCCCAGGCACTCAACAGAATGGGAATCCATCGAGTTCATGAGAAAAACGCTGACTTTGGCAAACTTACACTCAGCCAAATAAAGTTATCCAACATGGTGCACGCGACATCCATCCGAATCGATGAGTTTGGCATCAACGAGGAGCCTTTTGAAATCCTCAATTGTAAGTTAAATTCTATTTCCAAATGTAACAAAACAATCAATTTGATTTTTCGGCTTTTCAGTTACTCTTCCAACGCGATCAGATAAAAATAATCATGTCTTTGTGGCCAATCATCCGTTCTACTTTTCGATAGTAAGCGAAAATCACGTCCTTTTCTCCGGCGAGTTTTTGGGACCCTAAGTAAAGAAATTGCGAATTATAAGGGAAAAATATAAAACTTTTCCGTTTCCGAGTTTGATTGTACCAATTATTACAGTGGCAAAAAAGGGATTGTGAATAAAATATTTGTATAATTAAAGAGATTGTATTTTTGTTGTATTTCAAAAGTATTTTTGTACAAAATTTTGCCAATTTGTTATACTTACAACCGATTTAATAAGAAATGAAACAATTTTTTCATTTAATAGCAAAATAAAGAGTTTGGAAAAAACTCATCAAAAAGAAACGAGTTGTCAGCGAGAACAAGCAGATATTTATATTAAGTGCCGGAGTAATAGAAGGTCGCTGGAAAATTCCTCTTCCAAGAAAGAACTGACTCTTTAAAGAAAATTTTAGTCAAACTGGAGAGGCTGACTGTGGCTCTACCCTCCATGTACCAGGTGGGAATTATGCCAAGCTTGATGATACTGGCAACAAAAATTCATGATGCTTCTGAGCTCGGCTTATACAGTGCTGATGACTTCGATCCAATCATGTTAATTATGCGCTTCTTAGACAATCACAGGATTAATCAAGTTGGGGAGAAACCAACTGGTGGAGGTGCAACTTCCCAAACTGCGATTCGCCTACTTCGTGGAGCTTTATCCTCACATACTGGTTGCCATTGATTTTAAAGGCTTATAGAGCGCATCCGCAAACTTCCGCAGACTTTCAAATACCAGAAAACTACGACACTCCAGCATGACTCACATTGCAGCCATCGATAATGATGAGGGCGGAATTAACGAGGTGAAGCAAAGTTGGCCTTAGAAAGAGGTGGGTTAATTGGAACTCTACAAGTTCTTACAAGTTCGATTTACCGATTTATCTATTCTATTACCTAAGCAACGAAGAAATAATGGGGTGAAATTCTTCGCAAATCCCCCTTCTTCATTGCAGTAAAGGTATACTTAACTGGCGAATATTCTGCTCCCTGAATTAAAACAAATGAAGTGCTGACTTTGAAGGTTAAACAAATTGCTTCTTAAGTGTACAAAAAATAGATAAAAAAAAACAGATTATTTCTTGAACTGTAGAAACATAGTTCTTTCCTAAGATAAAATACAAAAAACAACAAAAAATGTTTCAACTTGGTGAAGAGATTTTCGAAGATTCCGAACTTTTATGATTAAGTTTGCTCGAGAAATTGTTGCAGAGCATCAAAATATATTGCAATTTTGTGAGGACATTTTCGCAGATCCCAAATTAAATAATTAATTAGCAAAGGAAATTCTTGCAAATGAAACATCATCTTCACGATATTTAATCTCTGACTCGTTGCCCAGATGGATCTTAATTTCCGGCTCCTGCTCCTCTATCCTCTATCCACCGAATGTCTTTCGGGGTCGCAATGACCCACATTAGGAATGTGTAATTAAGAGCATCGCTGGCCAGCAAATTCCCCCGCCCCTTTATGCTAATGACCAAAGTGAATTGTTGCTGTTGCTCCTGATGTTGATGTTGCTGTTGCTGCTGCCACTACTAATGTTGCTGTTGTTGTTGCTTGCCAGTGCTTGTGTGAATTCCTGACAGCGATAAAAATGTTTCTCTCTGGCCGCCGCCTGCCCCGCCCCCTGATGGCATGTTTAGTCAGCGGCTTATGCGGCGTATGCGTAATGTTAAAGCCATGACCGGGAGGCGGGGGAGGGGGAATCCAGGATGAATACCGTACGTGTCCCAAAGTCAAGGGGTCTCGCTCGTCTGCATGAATTGATTGACACGGGAAGCGGCATCGGGAAACATCAGCGGCAACAAAATGTGACTGCCAAACAACTTTATTTGTGAGAAGTGGCATTCATGAAATATTCATGCAGGCAAAAAACCCGGCTCTGATGCTGTCAGTCCGGAGGAGCTGCTGCCGTTCAGAATATCCAGAATATCCAGACACTGGAGCTGACGTCGAGGGGCTTCAGGATTTATTGGGCTGCCTGCCGGAGTGGATAAAAATTGAGGAGTGCAGTGCAGCCGGCAATTGTTGCAGTTCGATGACAGCGATCGACGTTGTGGCAAAGAGTGCAGCTTAAACTATTTTTAAGTGAGCCGAAATAACAAAAAACAACTTTTATTAGTTGCTTATTTTAAATGTATAAAAAAAAGACAAAATATTTTTTAGTGAAATTAGTTAACACTTGAATTAGGCTTTGTTATAAAAATGCAAACAGCACATTCCAAATAATACTAGTCTTTCAATTTACAATTTTTGAAACAAAATTTGAAAAAGGGAAATATAAAACCAAAAACCTTCATTTTCCTTGACCTAACAGAATGAATTTATAAATTTTTAATTTCCTCATAAGCCCTTATCAAAAGGGTTTATCAATTCCTACGCCTTTTTTTTATAAATTTTTCCCTGTTTTCTCTGCTCTTCTTTTCCAACTTTCAACCCAATTGAATCTCATCTGGCCTCTTTACTGCACGACTTGCTCCCGGTTTCGGACAAATCGTTTATTTGGTTAGCTTAGGATTGACCCACATTTGACACAGCTCAAGTTTCCCCTGCCACTAGAGCTCCCAGCGCATACGAACTCCATGTTTGTCCAAGTTGATGGTCCCAGCTACCAGATCTCGGCTCACAGCTCACCTCACGACCTTGTTGGCTAGCATTGGGGGAACAAGCAGCAACCGAAACCAGGCGAAAATCACACCCAGAGAAAAAAATAATAACAATAACATTGGGTAGATGTTCTAGAATTTTAAAGCAATCTAAACTAACACAATAATAATCTTACGAACTGTTACATTTTGTATTATTTTATGAGGATACAAAATGTTAACTCTGTTTTATAATAAAATTTAATATTATTACTATTGAATTTACTGTTCTTAAATTTTATAACATAACCTTTGCAACGCCAACTTACTAAAAATGTTCAAGTTTAAAACTAAGCTGTAGGTTGTTAACCTTTTGAGCACCTGACTTACTGTATTCCTTGAATTATATTGTAAGCGAGCACTAAAAATACCTCTTAAGCTATTTTAAAATGGTGTGTGTAACTTTAAGTTGGCATAAACCAGCGCTTTTGTGGTTTATGGCTCTAGTTTAACAACATCGATTGAGTTTTTCTGTGTGCAGAAGCAGAGGAAAACTTTTAAGGCGACCAAGCCGATGGCATTGGGAAAACAGCATCGATGTCGCCCGGCACCACACAAACTATAAATTGGCTTAAGCCCCGGACCACTCGACCAGTTTGGAGTGTGTTCCCATTCTCGACTCCCTCAAAGTTGCTGGCCAGAAAAGTGGGTTCCATATCCAGGGGAATTCGGAGGAGGTGGCTACAACGTTTGACACTCTTGAACTTTGATGTACGGCACTCAATCTCTGACGTTGAACGCCGGCTGAAAAGTTTCTTTGTGGCTTGTCATGTCTTCCATTTGATTTGCAATGATTTTTGCTAATTTTCCATGGCATTCGCTTTGACAAGTTTTCAACTTTTGGCTGGCCAAGATTCATTCCCACGACATCTGCAGCTCGTTCGAAATCATCGTCGTCATCGGCATCAGAAAATTTTGCCCAATCCCGATGGCAAACCTGTTTTTTAGTTTTGCCCATTTTTGTGGTTGCATAGATTGCATGGGGATCTTTTCTCAAAGTGCCAGGCCAAGCCCCATTATTATTATTGTGATTAGGATGAAATTAGTTTTTTGTCACGGCAACTTTATCGCTGAATCAGCTGCAGAAAAGTGAAAACTTTAACGACCAGTGAAAATCTTTGGCATTACCTTGCACAATGGGGACTTCCAAGTTCGGAAAAAGAATTGTTCAAGGAAAATAAAGGGGAGGAAATGGTTTAATTTCTTCATCAATTTCGCTTTGACGAAAGCATTAATCAAAACTCTACTCGAACGGAACGTCAAAATGAAAATTCGCTTTTATCGTCGTCATCATTAGGGGAAAAATGTTGACCTCCATTGGGATTCGGTCGCCAATTAAAAATTCATTCGCGGAATTCCCACTTTAATTTCCCTTTCTGCAACCACTAACCTCTTACTGCTTGATGTTCGTTTTAAATAATTATTAATTGCGATTCCAATTGCGTTTGTGTTGGAAGTCCATCGCAGCCATTGCTTTTTTCCCCACCAAAATCTGGCAGCGAAACGGCCGACCTTTACCAGTTTGAATTTCACCGCTTTTCGTTTAATTAAATCCAATCAAATAAAAGCGCATTGAACTGGTAATACCCCAAAAGCTTTTTCTTCTTTAGGCCAGAAAACTTTTGCAAGATAAATAATTAAAACAATAAAAAATAAATATTAATAAATGCATTTAAAAAGATACAAGATATAGTTAGTTATTTTTATGTTATAGTTAACATATTATCGTACACCTCTTACGCGTTTTACATTAAGTTGCCTACTGCACACTCTTGGTATGCTAAAATGGCACATTGTTTTTTCTAGTGTACGTTGTTCGGCTCGGGTTTTTTCTATGCCCTGTTGTTGTTGGAGGAAAACATTCTGGAGCATCCTGTAAAACCAACGAGCGTAGAATAATACTCACTCCCCTTCTCCCTCTTCTTTGAACGATGAATGCTCAACTATATGCTTAACAAAGCCTTCTCCAGAAAGTTGGTCTTAATCTCAGCGAAAAATGGAGCTAAATGAGACGGCACTTGCCCGATTTGCATATCAACCGTTCTCTCACTCATTTGCCAACATAACATTTCTGATTCATGGCTCTGTATTTACAAAGTTATGAATGTGTACTTCGCTGCAAGCGACAATAAGCATTTTGTTGTTATAAGGGAAAGAAAATGGATCATACTGGATATTTAATATTTATCTAAATCAACTAATAAATTGAATAGACAAATTAATTAACTACTCAAGCATCTCTGGTTAATTTGTGTGTTTGTTCGTGCTTAGCAGTATAATTTATTACATTAAAAGCCATCAAATTCAATTACGACGGAAACGCCTGTGGTGTCTCAATAAAAGTTATCCCTACTCCGCGTTTATTCATTGTATATACATCCTAAGGCTATTTAGCACTTCCACTAATTTGTATTTAGGTTCACGGAGATGAGTTTAGTGCGTTCGTTAAATGGAGTTAAGGAATATACTTAGTTAAACCTAAGCACATTCTCTTACTTTATATTTAGGCTAAATAACTCAAAAATTGTCGCACTTAATATGATGAATATAATATATATTATTTTTAATATATATTATTTAAAAAGCCAAAATTAAAATAAAATCAAATCTTTAATAATTTATACATATATGTACAAATGTATAAATATTTTTTGAATATAATTTAAAATAATTTGTATTTAATATTATATTTAAATACAAATACAAGACACAAATTATTGAAACTAATTATTTTTCGGTCATATCCTTTACAGACACATTATCCTCTATAGCCTTCTCCACTTCCTTCTGCGTTTCCGGGTCTGACACATGTATTTGGGGAAAAGCATTTGGTTGTTCTTTCAAAGCCTTTACGATAATAGGCTCTAAATCTTGCCACCAATCTGTCACATAGTCGCCAGCATAGTCTTGATTTTCCACGGATGCGGAATCCTTCTCGTCATCCTCACACTTCTTTATCCTGCGGCAACCTCCATTGTTTTCGAAGATGGCGCCTTCCCGGCACCCACATCCATTTTCGCAACGATGCAAGCACGTTTCCTTGGGACCATGGCATCCCTTGTGGCAATATTCAAAGCAATCGCGGTTGAGCGTTCCCTCGCAGTTCCGGTAAGCGAGTTGTTCCTCGCGACCATTGGTTTCCAGGAAAATCTGGCAGAACAATACCACCAAAAAGCAGAGCTTCATATCGAAAAACTTTTGATACCAAAACAGAAAAAATTAGACCGAGACCTTGTAATACTAGTTAAAAGGGAATAAGTGAGTAGAACAAACTGATTAGCTTGCGCTCTAATTTTTAGATCATATACTAAAATGTTTCATTTTGGCTTTACACGTATTGGTTTTTGATGTACCTAGTGTTATGATCCTACATTGATATATATTTGATATTGAGTTTTGATGTATATTATAAATAAATTCCTTAATATTTAATTAAAAAATTGTATAAATCAATTTTCACTCGAAGGATTTTAAAGTGTGTTAGGAATATTAAGCTGATGGTGACTTCCTTGTGGATTTTTAAAGGATCATTTGAATGCGGTAAAAGCCCACCCAAAAAATTAATCCAAAAACAAGCAAGGAAACTATAGTTACTGCGTGTAACATAACTAACTAAGTACCTTACAGTAAGCACTATCCTCGAAGTTGTAAGGATCAAACAATACAATAGGACAATCTGGTTAGAATAGATTTTTAATAGTTAACTCATAATTTATATTTATATTTTTAGATATATTTATCTTTTTGAGATTTAAGTACAAGGGATAGTTTCTGTTTTTTATAACCTTTTATCATTTCAACAGCATACCTTTAACATGGTTTTTGAAATGAATAAACAATTAGTTTAAATTAAACTTGTAAAAAGAATTTGACAGAGTTTTAAAACAATCTTCAAAATCTTTTTGTTAGTATTGACTATGGCTTGACAGATATTTTTAGGGCTCAATATTTTAAGTGTCCTCCTTGTTTCAGCGCAGGGTTAGACACGGTTCTCGACAGAACCTTCTTCTCAATCGATTCGCAAGGCACTTAGGCACTTTAACTGGTTGCACAGCTGACTGCCTTCTTCAAAGTGTAAATTCCCTACGGGTCCTGATGCACTGCTGCGGATTCGGCGCTTCCTGCATCTCCCTGTGACTTGGCCAGTTTCAACTTTCGGATCGCTGCCTTAATCCCTTGGCGGTGGTCCACGTGGTCTCAGAACAGTCTCGAGAAGATTCGGACCCGGCTGATTCTTGGGCCTAGGAGTAGGTGTCAGAGAGCGAGTGTGCGGAGCCAGCTCCTCCTTCTTGTGGACAGCCGAGGTGGCAGCACGTCTAGCCCGGATCTTCTCCTCCATCTTGCTGGGCACCATGAAGCAGTTGGACTCCTTGTAGACCGGCTTGCGGCGATCGTTCCACGGGAAGGTCCACTGAATGGGGGTGAAGTCGCGGCGCCAGGGCTTTCTCGGCTTGAACCAGCAATCGCAGGTCCAGTCCTCCTCGCCGGGGGCATCGTCATCGCTATTAATAAACACCACATTAGGAATTATATACAAAAGTCGGTTAAATATAAAACTCACCCCCTCACATAGACGCGAACGTAGTGCGAGTTCTTGCGGAACATTAGCAGGGCTTCGTTGAAGGTCATCTCCAGAGCAGGCACATCGTTGATCTGGGTGATCTCGTCGCCCACCCGCATTCCCGCCCTCTTGGCCAACCCGGTGGGCGAGACATTCAAGATGGTCAGCGGCTCGAACTGATCGCTCCCGCCGGACACCTCCATGCCCCACATGGAGTCGTAGAAGCTCATGATCCGGCGATCCGTCTCCACGGTGTACGTCATCTGGAGCTCGTACTCGACATTGTCGAACGCCTCCGAATCGTACTTGGGCACCCTAATCTTTGAGTCGAACATCGTGGTGATCTCAACAGTGAGTGTGGCCCTTGGAAGCTGGCTAGATGAAACTGAATCCCAAGCCGGTGGAATCGGACGGGAGGTACTTTATCGTCTGGCGTTAATCGAATTGCTCGCCAGCTTTTATAGACGATTATTTGGCAGCTAAAACGGATGCGGATGCAGGGACAATGTCAAGGGGTTCGCCCAATCGATTTGCCAAGTACAGTGGTGCTAAACACAAACATGCAGAAGTTCTTAAAATACTTTCTTTTTATTCCGGAACTTCTGATCTTACCATTAAATAAATAATGGCGTTGCAAATCAGCTCTAAGATCGAATTTTCAGCAACTGCGAACTAATAAAAAAGTGTCCCTACTTGAAGAAATTTTTAAGTTCTGTTTTTAAAGCATCTAATTCCTGATTCTTCCTGACTAATTAGTTTAAGCCTTGTTAAAAGGAACCTGAACATATTACCTAGCCGAATTTATTATGACCAGTAGTTTTGGCTTAATGGAAAAAAAAGTTTGTAAAGTGTATAGAGGACTTTGTTTTAATCATTAAAACTTTCTTGGATTTCTTTTCGTTTCACTTGTACCTCTTTGTACTTTTCACCTGTAAGTGCTACTCACTGTGTATCGGGGGAAAATCAATGCGATTGATTTGCATTTAATTGTTGTCTATTTTTAGTGGCTGTGATTTTGGCTGACGGAAACAAAAGCGACCGTCCGACTATGAGGAAGATCCCATGGCCGCTTTTGGCCATTGAAAGTGAAGCCGCCTCGAGAGCCAAGGGAGCAGCCAAGCATCCAAGCATCCAAGCAGTCAAGCGACCAAGCGACCAAGCTACCAACCAGCTCCAAGTCCAGTTCCTCCACACACCGCTGGCCAAGTGCTAACCACTTGGTCCAAGCGATTTGATTTCACTGACCTCAATTATGGCTGCAGTCGAGATGGTCCGAGGTTGGGCAGTTGGGAGACCTGCAGACCCGAGGCTTCTGCTGCCGGACTATTGAATTATTCATTTTGGAAGCCGGGGGAAAACAGAGAGGAGAAACCGGCCAACAAAAGCCCATAAAATGGTATTGTCGGGGGAGCAGTGCCAAATGGCAAATGGCAAACAGCAGCGACATCTTGCCTAATTACAGCAGCTCTTCGGTATGGATGTGCGGCCTTCCAAAGCGTATTTGTCTAGCCCGAAATCTTCTCTCTATCCAGAAGCACTTACCAGCTTGTCGGGGCTTATGCAATGGCATTCTGCCTGGGATTTGCATCACTGAGCGTAGCCAGCTTTTGTTGTCATGGAATTTCTTAGCCACAATGGAAAGGATTTCGACCATGGAATTGAGGTAATTACTTAGCAGGTGCTGCGCTTACTTTGCAAGCTTTTATTTTTGGCAGTATCTTAAACTTAGTCACGTTCCCGGGGCATATAATTGTGTTCACGATCCTTGGCTTTATCGAAAATTTAGCAGTCACGATTATGAGCCCAGTTTCCCATATAAACAAGTGTAAACGTTTCCCGCTTCTAAAACAACTAAAATGAAGGTTTTTCTACGACTGCGTGAGTATTGAAAACTTTATAAAACTAATTTCTAAAACAAGTTTATTTCAGTTATCGTCACACTTTTACTTCTTCTGTTATTGGACAGAAAATTAAATCGCATTTTGTACATCAAGAAACGATTGACCACTTAGTGTCCACTTTCTTAAATAAACAATATTTATTATAAATATTATTTTTGTGTACCAAATTGTGATCATATAATCTTTGCTTGAGAATATTTATTTTATTTTTGAAAACTTTTTTAATAATAAAAATATTGAAAACCTGTTTTTCGGACCGGACATGTTCTAACTTTACGTGTTCTTTATATTATGGTCTCAGTTTCCCTACATTTATAGGTTAAGCTGTCATATTTGCGAAATATTTTCTGTTTTTAATTATTTTGTCCAAAGCAGAACTAAATAGATTGGTCTCACATTTAATCTATAAGGTTCTTTGTGTTCTAGCATTACCATCAAAAATTAAAATTTAACAGATCAGTAATGCATTCCATTCATTAAATTTGTAAAGTCTAAAGTTTAAAACTATTCAATTAAATTTCTGCGTGTGATTTCCAATAGGTTTGTATATATTATATGTTTAAGACTGTACTGTCTTCTTTGTTACCTAGTAGTGGCCATGTAGCGTTTGTTTATTTGATAAAATATCTTTTTAAATTATTTTCTTCACCAAACTTTTAAGGTATTTAAAAAAATATTAAATAGTTTGTTTAATATTTAATAACATAACAAAAATTGTAATATGCCATTTAACGGTTAATAAAAACATGTATGCTATAAAAACGACAAATTTGACGGTTGTGTTTAGTACATTCAAAATGGTGAACCGATAAACAAAAAATATGTTTAATTCCAGATCGTTAACATAAGGCCTTATAATCCCAACGATTGAAAAGCTCATAATATAGTTTAAGTTTTGCGAGGTAGCCACTTCCTTAATTTCATCGGAGACTATCAATACATTTCAGCATTACAATTTTAGCCAAAGTCAATATTAATGTTAGCTTGTACTTTTGTACTTCTGTTTGTTGCTACGTAAACGAATCTCTCAGTCGACATTTAACTTAAAGTTTTGCTATTGCAAATAATATACAGAATAAATCGGACGAGATCAGACCACTACATATAGGTGCCATAAATTTAATAAATATTTAAACAACAAAGAACATTTAAATAAATAATTTCTAAAGTCTTATTCATAATTTTTCAATTATTTATTATCGGTAAAAATATTTACACGGCTCATTTTCATTATTTACGAAATCATACTGAAGCAACGCATCTGAGCCGCATAATCCTGTTAAGATATGGATTAATGTGATCGTAAAGTTCCTTGATGGTATTCAACAGACATCTCTGGTTGCCAACGATCTTTTGCAAATACTGATAGGTTAACAACCCAAGTTCGGTAAGATCAAGGCCCCTGGTCTTCATTGGATTAAAATTAGAACATGCTGCTATGCTCTTAACACTTGGTACTGCCTTTAGGGCTAATGAAGTGAGTGCTTGGATTCCCTGGTCAACGCATGCGTCAAGCCTATCGAGATCGACTTTAAAAGATTCCACTCTTGAAGGAAGGAGGGACGCCAGTGCCTTTAAATATTCAAAGTAGTGGTAAAAGAAAAGTTGCTTACTGCATTACCAAACTCACAATTAAACTGAAGGCGATTAAGGAGACTTTGCTGGTCCTCATGGTTTGGCAGCTTCGATATATAAAGTATACTTCCAAAAGTTCAACGCGCTTTTTATAGCTTCTGGCTTAAGCGAGATGAACCGATTAAGAACGCCTATTTGCAATAATTACTAACCTTAATAAGTCTTATGAAATTGTTTTCCCTTTTTGTCCTTAAGCCAATATATAATTAAAACGTTAATTTTTAATTAAATTTTAAACCCAACATCCCATCTCTTCTTGGTATTTTTAAACACAGCCTTCTATTTAAAAAGTTATCAAATATCCCCTGAGGAAATAAAAGAAATGTCATAATTTACAGATTTTATTTAAAGCCGTTTTATTTTATATTTCTTTAATAGTGATACGCCCTGGCATATATCAATTTGTTTTGGATTATACATACACATAGCATAGGTTTTTATTTCATTTCCTTTAATTTGCTCCGCATTGGTTCTGCCCATTTTTCTGACATTCGACACAAATGCCAGGCAATCATCTCTTACATACATTGATATATAGCCGATGTACATATTTAGATAGATTTTGAAATGTATTGTACCATATACGCATATATAAGTTGAGTTCCATGCTCGTTAACTCGCTTTGCTAATTTATAGCCTTTTATTTTTGGTGTGTGCAATTTGTTGTCGGTAAATTCAAACTTGACCAAAATAGGATATACATATAGGTATCATATAATATGCTCGTATAATGATTATTGTAATTACAATTCTCTAATATGTTACAATTCGAAATTAATTCAATAGTTTAACAAATGTTTACATTTTGCTACAATTAACTCAAACGAGAAACGCCGACTCAGTTCCGAAACGATTCCCAACGGAATACGTATTATCCGATCCAGCAACGATCGCTTAACGTTCCGTGTCCTTTCCGGACACAAACGAAAGCGATCCCTTCAACAAGTTTTGGGAGCTTCGTGGCTTGTGATCCGTGCACAAGTGAAGCCCCAATTGATCCATTTACCTGACCTAAGCTCGTGCTTCAACCGAAACGCAAAACGCAAATCAAATTTTCAATTCTTCACGCAAGCAAAGCAAAATTTCGGTTTAATTTTTAGTTGGGAAATGTACAGGTGGCCATTGCGTACTAATTTAAGACTCTTATCAAAACTACAATTGGTTGTTACGTAACTTGTTGCTTGAAGCTTTAGCAGGTGGTTCCGAGTGGGAGCATTGTAGAAGCGAAACTGTTCGTTTTTTGGGAGGGGGTGTCTGCGGGGGAGAAGCCTTAAAAGCCGTCAACAGTTGACAATGTGGGGCAGCCGTTTTATAGCAGCGCCGATTTGATGGTTTGTAACTCTTGTGTGTAAAATAGTTTCATTCGCATATAGTTCTTACTGCTTGCTGCTTGTATATATACTCGTATAGATCTAACAATAATCGTTACCTTTATAGAGAGATTTCGCAATTCTGCTGAGCTTACACCTCACGACTCCTATATCCTATATACTGTACGGTCTTTCTTTAACACACACATATTTTTGGTATCATATTTACTCCGGCGGTTGCCTGCTCGTTTAAGTTAAACAATACAAGATACAAGTACATGAAAATTTGTGTATAAACAGCAAATATATAGGGTTTTATACATTAATTTCTTTATATATATAGTTCCTCCATTATATATATGTCTGTATTTTGCTTTAGTTTGCTCCTTTAAAATGCATAAACGTGTGTGTTGGTTTGCATTACAAGCTTTACATAATTGTCGCATACTTGGGAAAACAACATACACTAAACTGATAAACATAATATCACGTGGAAAACCAAACTAAACGATCTTTTAACTAATACCAAATATTTATACAATCGAATCCAACGAAAACTATTTACAAAATTGTCAAGAAACTTAACCGAAACGGGTTCTAAACAGTAGGCTATCGTGTCTGATTGGAACTGCTGGTGCCTACTTTTTGGCCGTGGCCAACTAATCTCGAAATACATAATAATCCATAAACGGTTGGTTCAACTACTTAATAATTACGTACGCTTTGCATTTGGTTTCTCTCGTCTCATAATCTGTGATTTCCTCATTCGATTTTTGAATTGCTTCCTCAGCTTTGCCCTAGCAACAATCTATCCTCTACTTTCTACTTCCGATGGAATCCCTCAAGCTATTTCAATCATTTGCCGGCTGCTGCCCCCTAGTCGGGTTGCGATCTCCGCCTGACCAGCCGCCGGGCGATATTCAGGCGCTGCAGCCAGCCATAGCCTGCGTCTCAGTAAACCAAAACGGACTCCATCGTGATCGTATCTCATTTGCTCGCACTGTTCGCATTCGCCGCATTGGTGGCCTGAATCTGGGAGGCCGTCTGGCTGGCCGGCTCCAAAGTTCGTCGCGCCAGGCGTGATCTTTTAGGGAAATAAATAAGTTAGTAACTTAATTGAGGAAACTTTAGAGTTCGTCTTACTTGATCTGCCCAGCCAGCAATGGATTGATGGCATACAGCCAGTCGTGGACCTCCTTGTCACCAAGGGTCTGCAGCAGATAGCCACGATGTTTGGTCACAACACTGTAAAGATATTCGAAGATAACTGATTAATATCAAAGATAACTCATAAGTATAATAATAAATATAAAGTGTCATATTAAAATCTGAACTAATTGCGTTAAAATATAATTCTTTCTTTGTTTAAATTACGACTTTATCCATCAATACTTTTTAATTAAAGAATGAGAATTCAAACCCACCTGAATGTGTTGGGTATCTTGACCATGGCCGCCTGGTCCTCGCTGCACTCCACCTGGGCGGTGGCCAAATTGAGGACGGCCCGCTCAACGGGATCCTTCTCCGATCGGTAGATAAACACGTAAGGGCGACGAACAATCTGTTTCAAAATTATATTAAATTGGAATTGCACTCTTTAGTTAAGGTTAGAAGCTGAAAACTTACCACCCAGCGCTTCTTCCAGCCAGAGCCTCCATGCTCAAGGACGTTCAAGAGACCCTTGCGGGCGACCACGGGACTCACGCGAATCTCCTCCAACTCCGGCACATAAAGACGGAGGGGCAGAGCCGGCTGAGTGGCCGGAGCAGGTGCCTCCCATCCATTGGGGGCATCAGCACGATCCGGTGAACATAACCTGGTGTACGGAAATTAATTTAATTAGCCAGAGCCTCGTTTGAAGTGTTGGATTAGGTTTAGGTTCTTGGATAGAACAGAAAATTACCTGCGTCGAATTACAAATTTGTTGTTTCTAATTGTGTAAAAGAAACCGAAAAGGAAAACAAACAAATAAAATATTGGAAGTTTTGTTTTTGAGTATCTGGAGTTATTAGGAAAATGGGTTTCGGTGTGGGGTTTCTGTTAGTTTTTGCGCTGCGATGATTGAATGGGGGCAATTACAGGGAACCAGCTGGAAGCAATAGCAATACTCGCTTAAAAGGCTTTTGAATAGCTTCAGTTGCCTTTTGTTCGTACGATGATCGAGTTGAAGTTTCTCTATTTGCTGCTGCTGCCAGCTGTATTCATGATTTCTTTGATGACAACTGGCTTTGCAGAGGAACACATTTTGAGCCATGAAGGTGACCCGGATCCGGGTCGCATGAAGTACATTTGGAATCCGTTTCCGGGTATCTGCGGCGAGAACGCTTCTATGGCGAGATGTGCTGGAGTCTGTCCTGAAACCTGTGCCTTCAAATCGCTCAAGTGCCCCAGCTATTGCGGTGTGAATTGCAAATGCAAACCTGGATATGTCTTTGATGAAAAGCTTCTGCTCTGCGTTTTAAAATCTGACTGTCCTCAAGATATTGAACAGCAAGTTGTAGACACTCATCGCGTGTTTCAGTAGAATTTGAATAAGTTTGTCTCTATCGGTTTACAATTTGTAATAATTCTATAATGGCAAAATAAAGATTTCATTTCCCTTATCTGGTCTTCACAGAAGTTTCAGAACTACTGGAAACTTGTTGGAAATAAGTTGACTGACCCAAGCGAATCCGATTTCACAGAAGTTCCAGGTGGAACAGTGTTTTGTATTTTGTGGAACAATTCGAGCTCAGTTTCAAAACTCTCTTCAATGATGGCTTTTCCTCAGCTTTGCTTATCTTTACTCCTTATGGGATTATTCTTTAAAAATTCGCCTGCGGCAGATGAAACCACCGAGACTGAGATGACCTGGCCGGATGAAGTCACAGAAGCCACCTTGGTTGCCGAGATGACCTGGCCGAATGAACGCTCAGAGAAAGGTGCTCAAACCCGACCTTTTTTCACAGCTCGCACCATCGATCCCCTGGATGCTCTGATAGACGAGGAAGAGTTCTTGGATAAGTCCCGTAAAAAGGAGGAATTCAAAGACAGCCTGGAGGCGGAACATAAGATTGTTTACCAGCCGGCTGAAATAAAAGCCCGGAAGCGAAAGCCTCTTCCCGAGGAGAAGCTGATCAAGCAGCCCTTCTACTTCGGCTGCTGTCACAACTCCACGAACGTGGGATGTGCCGGTGTTTGTCCGGAGACCTGCGAGTACCGCTCCAAGTACTGCGTACCGCTCTGCGGACCGCCATGTCGCTGCAAGCCGGGCTATGTCTACAACATTCCGCGCATGGCCTGCACCCTGCGTACCGACTGCCCCAAGGGGATTGTCCAGAGCAAGAACGGGGTCTACAGGGTGTTCCTCTGAGGCGGATAATGCAGTGAATGTGATTGGGTGATTGGGTTAGTGTGATGGAGGTGATGGAGGGGTGGTGTGCTGTGGTGTCGTGCCAATTTCGTTTGTTCTAATAAACCAAGAAAGCCGATGGATGCAAGCTAACTAAGATGGTTGGTCGTGGTGCGCATGTGGTGCGAATACGGGTGGCTAAACGACTACTCACTCCATTGAGTTGCTGGAGATGCAGCTGACGGTCATGTCGGCACAGCCCTCATCGCTGGGCGAAACATCCGACTGGGTTTGCGTATCGTTGGCCTCGCTCTTGGTGTAGCGTCCTGAGGAGACTAAGAAATCAGTATCTGAAGCCTTGGGAAAGCCGATCCCAACCTACCCTGCACCAGCTTCAAGCACTTGAGCATGAGCTCCTGCTCCCGCTGGTTGTACTCGCGTTCTGGAATGATCTGCTGCGGATCCTTGACCGGCGTCTGCGGCGATTGCGGAATGACCATGTGTACGGGTGAGGTGGCAGCTCGGGCGGCCAGGTTGCAAACATCCTTCTCGGTCTTGGTGGTCGGATTCGGGTTGGTGTCCATGCCCAGGCGTTCGCGCAGCAGAAGCAGGTGGCGCATGCGGCCAACCTCCTCCAGCCGGGTCAACTTCTCCAGCTCCCACTGGTGGTCGAAGATCAGGGAGTCGCCCCTTGGCCGCCAGCCGTGCAGGTTCTCCTCACCGCGCACGTACGTGGAACTGGTGTCCAAAACCCGACGCTGGCGCCTCTGCACACCTGCAAAAGGCATCAAGAGAAGAGAACGAGTGAGTGGGTGCCAGCTCTGGGGATTCGACAAGCGAGTGCAAGCGGACTGAGTACGACGAGTACAACTACAATGAGAATTGCTACCTGGACTACCTGCTTCGGATGCTCTGCGCAGCGCCAGCTCGTAGACTCCGGTGAGGCGGTTGGCCTCCGGATTGCGGTACTGTCCCGAGAACAGGTGCTTCAGGGAGCGCGGCCCGGTGCGAGCGTCACGTCCATAGATTACCATGCTCAGATCTTTGGTGATGATGGCCGGGCGGGCGCAGTTCTCCAACTTAGGAACAGGAGACTAATTAGTATAAAACCCAGATGAAATGTACTCTAACCCACCTCCAAGTAAGCACTGAGGGTGATGTAGATGGTCTCACCGCCCTGGGAGACGCGGTTGAGCAGCGCCGAGTTGTGCAGACTCGAGTCCCAGGCGGCCTCGAATCGGTAGAAAGATCGATCATCCCCAGGCACCTCCAAAACCTCGCCGGGGAACAAACCCAACGACAAGACGCAGGCGTCTTCGTCCTGCTCGTCGGATGACTCCGGGGTGTTGCGAATGCGTCCCACCACCAACTCGTTGATGTCCTTCCACTTCACCTCCGCTGTGGGCTCGTGAACGATGGTGATTCGAATGCGTCGCTGGATGCCCTGATGCAAGAGGAACAGTCCGCGGCAGGGAAGATCATCGCTGTGCTCCACAACCTGTTGGAAAAACGGAATAACATATAGGGAACTTATAGGGTTGTTACTCCCAACTCACCGATGGCACGTATTCCCCGTTGGGCGCCAATTCGCAGATCTCGAACCAAACTAGAACATCGTGCTTGGCCAAAACCGTGGAGGTGGGCGCACAGGGTAGCGGACCAAACTTGGGACTGCGCACCGGCTGGCTGATCGGAATGCTCGGTGGCAACATGCGACGTGGTGGTGGTCGGGAAACGAACTCCTGCTTGGCGTCCTTGTGCAACGGGTGCGTCTGGTAGTGTCCGAATATCTTGAACATAATGGGCTGGGTCTTCAAGTACTCGATGAACGATTTGGTCACAGGAACAGTAATCTATTTTTAAAACATAAAACCAATATGAAGAGTGTATTCCGATTAAATGTTATAGCAAATACTTACGTTCTGTACATGGTAGAAGCCTAGAGGAGCGCCCGAAGCTGAGTTCTTAACCGGCTCGGTGGAGAAAGCCTCCTCGTGGCGGTGCAAGAAGCTGTAAAGGTAACCTTTTATAAACCACATACCCAAAGGGAATTTTTAAAAGATTACTTACTTGAACTGGCAGAAGATGTCGGCATATTCAGCGCCAATTCCGGTTGCCTGGAGAACGGTGACCCGGAAGGTGAACTCCTTGCCCACCTGCAGATGCTCGCCGGGCTCCTCGGCGTTCTCATGGCACTCGGAAGCGGAGTTGGAGTCGATGCCACGGCCAGAATCCACATCCTCAAGTTCTGCGAAAGAGGATACATATAAATCTCATATGACAAGTAAGTGAAACCATCAAAGACCCACCCTCCAGCTTGCTGTCTAAGCCTCCGTTGTCAATGTACCGCTGCACATCATCCTTCTCGTTGAGAGCTCGATACTTGGGCTTGGCATCATCCTCGTTGAACACCAAACGAGCTGACTGCTTGACCCCGTTGTTGAAGTCGATCGACTCCTCATCCAGCACTGGCTGCACAGCAATCCTCAGATAGCCACGCACGTCTCCCCGCTCGTTGACAATGGCCACCTTGTGGACCAGCGGCACCGGGTAGAGCAGGTTGCTCAGGTAGATGAACGAGCGACCCACCATGCGGAACCAGGGGAAGCGGTCGTAGAAGGGATCCCCGCCAGTGAGGCTCTCCACGTTGTAGTCCGGAGAGGTGGGACTCATCTCGGCCTCGTTGTGGTACATCTCGCGCATCAGCTCCAAGCGTTGCCTAAAATATCAGATTCAAGAAGTTAGACATACGATTTAACCACTTCATTTTTGAATAAATAATAGTATTAAGTTGCATAGGTAGAGAGGTGCAGGGACAGCGCCACAGGAAGCTCAAACCCAACGGAGATTATAAGCCAAATATGTAAAGCCATGCAACTACAACTAAGGATAGTCTCTACACGTCTATATACAAATGAAACCTGCGGTCAAAGCAAACCTAGAAGGTATCAGATTGGCCAATGTGAGGCGGCCCCGTTCGCTTTCGACTGGTGACTCCACTGGGAGCAGCTGCGACTGCTGGCCGGGATGTGAATCCTGGCTGGGTGGTGCGATCCATCCGCTTAGCGCCTCCATGCCGGACGTATCGAACAGCATGGACGATGGCGGGCTCTCGACATTGTATATCTGTCGCATCAGCTCGAGGCGATAGCTTGTTTGGTGTACGAAAATGATTTCGGGTGGGATTGGGGTTCACGATTTGTGGGTGTGTTGGGTTCGGGGATTCGTAGTAAAAAAAACAACCGAAAAAGTACAAATCAACATTTGTTTGAAAGAAACCTAACAAGCTGTCGGAACTTTTGGCGAATGATGGCGATGAGTCTTGGAGCGTAAATGGTGGCGGCTTGGTTTTCGCTTCGTTAACAGCCAAAGTTACAAAATTAACCAACAAATTCTAGAGCATTTGATAGAAACTAGAATCCATGAACTACAACCACCATGCACGTATCAACTTAAAGTACAATTAACTTAAATCAAAAGCCAGCTTTAAATTTAAGACTTCAACCAAGGTGCAAAGAAGAATGAATGTGAGGGAGGAGCAGGAACTCAAATGGATTATCGGACATTGAATCACCTACCGTAATTTCTCCAGGGACCAGTGGTGGGTGGCTCCGTTCTTGGTATCGGTGACCTCGACGGCCACCAACGTCTTGGACACTGGTGGTGCCCCAAACTCATCCTCCTGGTGGAGGGGAGCCACACTGGAGGCCAACTCTGGTGGCAACGGTGAGTACAAGGTGTCGGTCAAGAGAGTAAATTGGAATTGCACCTGAAATGGGGCATGAAATAGTTAGGATTTTATAGATCATTTATTTAAGAAAGGAAATTCATTAAGGGAATATATTACAATCTTTAATTTTTGTGACAACCTATTCATCTATTCACCTTTTTCTTTAACTCAACGGAAATGGCATTGGCTTCCTTGAGGAATATGGCGTTGCCCCAGAGATCGTCTCGCAAGGAGGTGAATTGGTGGTAGCGCCACTTGCGGAAGGCCCAGGCAGCCAGTCCAGCCTCGCGAGCTGTCCAGCAGGACTCGTACATGGGATTGGCTGGGGATTACAAAATAGTTACAGCAGTGCACTCGCGAATCGATTGATCTCCACTCACTGTAGACGTCCTCCTCCTGGTGGAAGTCCTCCGGCGAGTAGCTACTGTACATAGACATGGTCATCGACTGCTCCTCCACTTGTTTCTGCAGTGCGTCTATGCGGGCCTCGTAAGTTTTGCGCTGCTCCTCGAACTGCTGGTCGGCCTGGAGCTTCTCCCGCTTGTACTGCTCCTCCAGGTTGTCCAATCGCTTCTTCATCTCGGCTTTGAGATCGATGCCCTGCTTCTCGAGCAACTCGCACTGGGCAAAGTTCCAGTCCACCTGCTGGGTGTCCGTCTTCTCCACTTCGTTCTCCGCCTCGTTCTCCGTCTCGATCTTCTCACGGAGTTCACGGGCCTGTTCCGGATTGGTGAAACGGAACACGTGGTTCTTGCCCAGGATCACACGGGACCCAGTCTTAAGGACCTCTGGTTCAACCAACTTGCGTCCGTTTACATAAATAATGGCATCTTTGTGCGGCAGCAGGGTTACGGTGCTGTTTCTATTCTCAAAAGTGCAGTGCTCCTTGAGGATGTGCGATCCTGAGAGCTGAATGTCCTGGGGAACGTTGGCTTCGTGGGTTCCCAATCTGGTTAGGCCCTCCTTAATGTAGTAGAGCAGACATTCGGAGAGATTGGGATCTTCGTTTAGGTTGACCAAATGGGGTGTCTTCTTGGGCGAGAACACGCCCACTGTGATGCCATCTTCCTTGACGGCCACGCCCATTTCGGCGAAGACCGCCTCTCGCTGCACGCGAATCTCCTCAGTTCGCTTGAGTTTCTCCTCCCAAGTCTCGTTTAATTCTTCGAAGGGTAAGAGGGATGTAACGAGCATTATTTAAACAAAAAAATACAATAGTTTTTTAGAGGCACTAACCTGCAATGAGTTTCTCGCTGGCCTGCAGCTGATCCACGGCCATCTCCGTGGTGGATCCATTGCGATTACGCGACTTAGTGGGCGACTTGATCACCGTGGACTTGGTGAGCTCATCCTCTGTAAATTCGAAAGACCAATTAGAACGAGGAACTACGGGCCATTTATTGATCACAAGCGCAGTGATAAGCGTGCTAAGGTTATACGGTTACGAAATACATAAAGATATATCGGGTAGAAATGTTCATATTTTTGTTTTTTACGGAACGAAGCATTGGCCAATGGGTTATGGTTTTTGGGGACTGTTGCATAACTCTGGCATGTCCACTCGCACTTTCGAGCCTAAAAAAGCAGTGCGGACCGCGGGGAGTTGGTGCCTGTCTTTCATTTTGGACTTTGGCAACTCAAATAAATTATTAAACAGTTTTATTTAAGTCTCGTGGTATATTTTAAGGCAACATAAAGAGGACTCGGTTGTGATTATCGTATGGGATAGATAAGATTATATTCGTCCTGAAGCAATTTGTTTGGAAGCTTTGACGATACAGCACAATACAGACATACACACAGAGATATATGTAAGATTTTTGGCAGTGGTTAAACTACAATATCAGTGCGTTTCAAAACTATTCATCAAACTGTCATTGTCCAAAAGGAATATTCGGGTTGTAATAAACAACTATTTTGTTGATCGAAGGAAAGTATTAAGAGAAATGGCGTTAAATTAATCATCCATAAAATATTCCAACATCTATGGATCTTGAAGATATTTGGTATATCAGCTCGCCCAAAAGCTCTGAAACGCACTGTACATTTTTGCATATTTATTGAATAACAATTGTTGCATGTGAAGCCATTGGTTTAATTAGCGCTGAGTTTCTGTTGGCTTTACTTACTATTCGCATCGCGCTTTTCACACACCACTTTGCCATCGGGTCCTAAACGAAATAGGTTTGGGTTTGGTTTTGTTTTTTTTTTTTCTAGCATAACTAGACTAGAACTAGAACTAACTTAGACAGGGTTTTCGTGTTTCGGTTTTCAAGTGTAGCGAGTAATTTTTGGATGTGTAGCTGGGTTTAATGTACTCTAGCTTAGTTGAAGGTACTTCGACTGAATCCAAATGGTAAACACTATTTCAAGACTCACCTTCCTGCACCTCAATACCCTCGGCTTTGAGAAGATCTCGAAGTTTCTGGATCTCCTCCTTGAGTTCGCGAATAAGCTTGGCATTGGCATCTTCGTTGACCACAGCCTTGCACACAATTTGCTTGGCGCGATCAGCATAGCTATTATACATTATTAAAATCTGGTATGAATGAATTCTATTTCATAAAAACAAGAAGTTTTACCGCAATGTGCTGAGGGTTTCGTCGTAGTTAATATCTGCTGGTGAAATGGCTGCAATCATAGCCGTCTTGGAGTTACCTCCCAAATTTTCACGTAGCAACCAAGTCAAGGCTGAATCGCGGTAGGGAATAAAGTCAGCCTTCTTGGAGTTCTTTTTCTTGGAAGCCTACCAAATTAATAAAAAAAAACATTACTAATTGTAAGGGGTAGGACTGCAAAATAATTGATTTAATCGATTTTTTTGATATCCTGGCAACATCGATAACAACTTTAAGAAATTCCAAATTGTTCGGAATAAATTTTGCTTATCTTTTTAGTATAAAATGCAACTGATTAATACTTGGAGGTAAACTTACAGACTGAGAAGGAGCAAGGCAGCGTAAGTAGAAAGTGTAGTTATAGTCTTTTATCTTTCAAGTGTCAAATATTCACAACTTACCACCTCCGCAAGAGCTGAGATAACTTTGCCCAAAGTTGTCAGGGACTTGTTGATGTTGGCTCCCTCCTTTAAGCGAGTTCCCTTGGCCCCAGTGGAATCCGCGCGTTCCGAGCCAGCTAAATCCACCAAGCTAATCTTCGAGACCTTCTCTGTGGTCAAGTCGGTCATGGTATCGTAACGACGTTGGGTGAAAAAGATGGTGAAGACCGCATGCGAGCGGGAACTAGTTTCGTTCATGTTGGTGGCAGCCACAGTTCTAAAAACCGATATAAGATTAACTTAGTTAAGAAACAGCTATACATTGGTACAGTAATTAAACCCACCGAGCCTTGTTGCCTTCATCAATGAGATCGTGGATGTCCTGGTAATCAGTGACGGCCAACTTGGAAAGATCCTCCACATAGGGACCCAAAAGAGGATGTTCCCTCACACGCAGATTTCCCTTGTTTTTGGGATTCAGCAGATCCCTGACTCGCTCGCAATAGATTTCCATATAGGATACCTCAACCTTTAAGTATGAAGTGTTTTTCAATTTGAATCTAATAAAGTTTTGAGGACTTTGAACTCACTGAATACTTGAGGTCATCGGTCTCGGTATCCTGAATGCGAGTAAAGAGATCCTTGCATATCATGGGGATAATGCCCTCCTGCTGCTCCTCCTGCCTGCCCATCATGGTATACGATTTTCCGGCTCCAGTTTGGCCGTATGCAAAAATACAGACATTGTAGCCATCGAAGGAGTGTTGCAGCATCTCCTCGCCAATGTCCTTGTAGACCATCGCTTGTGTTGAGAAATCGGAATCATGGTGCTTTAAAAAAAGGTTTCAAGTTAACTAAATTCCGTCTGCATGATCTTCGGTTAAACTCACATCATGTGACCAATAGGAGTAGTCAAAGTTGAAGCGCTTTACTGACTCGCTTGTGTTGGGCGGCACCTTTGGATTGGTTATGGCTGTTAGAAAAAATATATTTTATTATTTGGCTTAGTAGAATGTTAGAACACTTTTGAGACTCCTACCCGTTGTGGCTCCTGCCATCTCGATGATGCATTTCGACTCCCTGGCTATTTCGCGCGAGTTGAAGGGGCGCACTCGCACCGCCACCTTAACCGACGACATCTTGGCCTGGCTCTCAGTGGGTGTCCTGGTTTCCGGTTAACTGGAGTGAAAATAATGCAAGGGGAATACTTAATGCACATTCGAGTCATTCGAGTGGGCTGTAAATTGGCTCGAGACTTCCACTGTCAGCACTGACGCTTTGTAATTGCCACAACTTTATGGTTATGTACTTGCCCACGATTTGCTCTTGTGGTTGCTCGAAACTATGAGTCATGCCCCCGGCAAGTCGCCAGGGAAATTTGAATTGAAGCCAGGGGTGGGGCTGGGAATTGTTTCTTTTTTCCTGCGGATTCAGACTTTAAGCTACAAGAGACCATTGGCAAATAACCAAGAAATACTGTTTGTTAAAGAAAATCTGTAACGCTTTGGCGGAATCACTAATATAAACATTTTTTAATGATTTTTTTTCTCATAAATTCATTTACAGCATTTCAGAAACTCAAACCAGATGGTTAATATAAAAGTAAGTTGATTTGTCTCGTTATTGTACTTAAATAATAAAAAAAAAAGGGTCCTTCATTCCTGAACTTTGATTTTGTGGTTATAGTGTGGTTAAACCCGCTACCCTCTTGACTCTCACAGACGCACAATCAAGCACTCACACACTTGCACTTAAGGGAAAAAATTCCACAATCCACAATGCTTCCAATAAAAACCAGACGAGTGTCGGCCAATACTCGAATGAGTCATCGAGCAAATACAAAAGGCAGGATAAAGAAAAATACTCACACCCCAATAGGAAGGGGATACCTTAAAAGGCATTTTAATACATTAATTTTATAAAAGAAAACCGAAATGTATAGGAAATAATTTACCTTTAATTAAAGCCAATCAATTACTGGCTTAAAGGCTGGCTGTATCCTTTAGGTTCATTATAGCACAAATAGTGCGATTTGTTTGCAACACTTTTTTATTTTAATAACTTGAGTGATTTCCGAAGAATTTTAGTTCACTTACAAATGTATTAATTTGTAATGTTTTACTTTTCCGTATAACACTCTTTATGTTGTTTATTTGTTCTTTAGTAGTTATTCCACTTGACTAACAATGAAATTCTTTTACTTGCGTACACTGAAGTCCTAAAATATTAGGAGACTAAGCTTTAAAACTATTCCAATGGTTTTGTGTTCAATGCGCAGCTGTGATAACTCCTCTCTTTCTCGTCCTTTCTCTCTCTTTGTTTACCTGACCAAAATACTTTTGTTTATGTTTTTTTGCTTCTTCAATATCTTTTTGACGAAAACGTCAAAGCAATGTGCAACAGCCTGCAGTAAAAAGTCTACAAAGTATTTGCGCAGAAGCGCGGGACAGAAGAAATGTGGAGAGAAGACAGAGAAAGCTGAGAGAAAAGAGAGAGAGAGATAGAGCGTGGAAGCGAAAGTGAGATAGAATATGCAAAATATTTGTGTAATGTAATTATTTCACTTTTTATGATATGCAAACTGAATGGCAATTTTTTATAATTTCATATTAAGTCCTCTTTTCTTATGTCCTGTTCTCAGTTCACCAGGCAAAGGCTTTAAAAATGTGTTCTTCACTTTGTCAACCCTCATTTGCTCTTGAGAATCGAAAAAACACTCGAGGTCCTTCGCGTTACTTTGCTTTTATTGCCCTCTGCGTCATATTGTGGTCTTTTTATGGCTTCCTGCGGGGCAACACGGCGGGCACTTAATGCCATATGCAGGACCTCTAACACTCACACGCGCACACACAATCGTAGGTAATATCCTTCGCTGGGTTCTTCTTGACCTTTATTAATAAATTTTCAAGTTGCCTTTGCCATGGACACCGAGCCAGGGAATCTCTACACTCTACACACTATGCACAATCTTCTGGAGGCCACTGTATACTAGGTGATGGAAAAAGTTGCGAATATTATGTAAAACGAAATAATGGGCTATGTTTTCGAGAATTTTGAAATGTTTGGTCGAGCGAATTGATGAAATTTTGCAAATATATTTTGAAGCATTTACCAATTGGTTTCTGTTTCGTTTCGTTTTTTTCGGGGTATTATAAACCTATAAAACTTAAAATATTTTCTGTTTCAAGAACATTTGTGGTTGCTGCTGATAGCCCGCGTGTTGTTGCTGCTGCATTTCTTGCTCTGGTTGTTCTTCTTGGGTGTAGTTGAATACTAGTATAAAGCTATCCAGCATGGATCGCTTGGAGGTGGTGGCAAAAATTATGGACAGCACCAGAATTGTTGTTAACAATAGGGCGAAAAACAAAAGATAACCAAAAGCGCACATCCGCGTAGCTTTTTCGTGACTTGAAGGATTCTTGATTATATATATAGGTTCCCATATATGTGTATATGTAGGGGTCTGGCTTTCTGTATAACAGCGAAAATTTTGCACTCCTTTTTGAGGGACAAAAGTCGAGACAGTTTAAGTTTGCCACGAAAATAAATAGTTTGTTTTGGAATTTATAAGTTGCTTTACTTGGCTGCGGTTTGTTTAAAACTTTTGAAAACTTTTCGTTAGGGGAAAACTCTGGGCTTTTCTGCACAAAATCGATGGCCAGCCAACGGAGGCCCTTTTAAAATAAATTCGCGCACGACTCGAGACGAAAACGAACTGCACCCGTTAAGGGTAGACGACACAGTGAGCTCTGGGAAAGTTCAGAGGATACGACCAGGCCTCCGTGGAAACGCATGCGCCAGAAATCCGGGGGCGAAATTGGAAGAGCAGGGGTTGCGGAGAGGGGAGGGGAGGGAAGGGAGGAGGAGAGTGGATTGTGTGGGCTGTAAGGTGTATATGGGTATGCGAAAAATTTCATAAATTTCATCTACGACGCTGGTAAGTCCACCCGACTGTCATCCGTCGGCACAAAGAATTTCATTATGGGCGCAAGGTGTCCACTTTTTCAGACAGCCACTGTGGCAGCCCATGTTCCCCAATCTTTGATCTTATTATGAGCTATTCCGCTATTCGACTATCGCTGCCGGCACAGTGGCTATGGCTACCGCCATATCCACCAGCTGATGACGTAAAATGAATTCTTTGTATTGATTTCCCATCGCCCCGAGACGCAGGACAAGCTTTGGCTTTTTATGTTACTCGGTAGGTTTCATTTGTATACACTTCTCCGGCGTAATTACATTGACATTGAAATCCGACGCCGACGCTGTCAGGACGTCGAAAAAGTGAAGGGGCTGGTGGGTATAAAAAGAAGGTTGAGGCTGCTGGTCGAGACATATTGAAGGAAAATACTGGAAGCTCTGTTTTCCCAGAGCAAAAACTTTACCAAATGTATTTAATTCACTTTGAGAATGACACAAGGACAGGGCTATAAAAATAAATTGTATATCAACCTGTTTGTTTAATAAAATATTGCTTCACATTAGCATTGCTTATAAATTAAGTCATATGCTCGACTGAAAAATAAAATGAATTTTAATTATTTATAATGATTTTATTTATTATTATTTTGGTTATTTTCGAAAAACTTATTATAAATGATTTAAAAATACTGAGTAAAGACTTGAAATCGGATATTGTGCCTAACGAAATGGACACGCGTAGTTCGAAAACTTTTGACAGAAGGTTATACAATTTTTTTTAAAGCTTAAATTTTATATTGTGAACAGACTTTTTAGAAATGTTTTATGGCGAATATCGTAACTGAACAACAAAGTAATCCCATCAAAATTGTCACTCCTTTCTATTTCACACATCAGCTTGCCAACTACAAAAACAACAATGACAACAAAAGAATCTACTTCGGAAATTTTGCCCAACGATATGGACGCGGAGTTCGAAAACTTTTGGCAGAGAGTTAGTTGCTTTGCGGCCAACACCTTTCCTTTCGAGGAGCGGTGTGAATTCGTTACAAAAGCCGTGGACTGTAATGCGAGCACCAATGTAGTTCCTTACATGAGACTCCTGGCCTGCGAGCTGAAATGCGTCAATAGCTTTCAGCAAGTCATCTTCATCACGATGTTCGTGGCGTTCTGCTTTGAGATACTGGTCCTTTTGATCTACGTGATCAATGTTTAGTAAGTTTCAGGTTTAAAGCATTGACAAGCCCTTATGATACAAGGTTTTTTTTTGCCTTAACTATATATACATTTTTTTATGCAGCTTATCTATATATGTATTTTTTATACAGCTATAGTCCTGCTCTAAAGGCCGTATCGCGATTCCTCCACATGAACGAGCATTTGGCGGGAGTTACTTTGATGGCGTTTGGAAACAGTTCCGCCGATTTGTTTTCCAACTTGGCAAGCGTTAAGCAAAGCGTACCCGTCTTCGCGAACAGTTTGTCTTCTGGCCTGTTTGGAATTATGGTTTCTGGTGGTCTAATTTGCTATATTTCCCCCTTCAAGATGAATGCCTACGAAACAATTCGCGATATTTTATTTCTTATTTTGGGAACGCTTTTGATGGATTTATTTATAAGAACAAACTACATTGGCTTCGAGGTCGAGTTTCTCAGTAAGCACTTTTTGAAACGTGATGCATAATTCTTGTACAATTTATTGGTTTTAAAAAGTTACGAAAAATTAATCATTTTATTTTCCCTCTGTCTTCTAAAATATAGTTGTATTCATGATCTACATAACCTACATATTAGTTAATGTAGCAGACGTTTACCTTTTGCGAAAGACTTTACACAGTGAGTAACACTAAAAAAAACTTGTTAAGATCTCTAGTCACTTTTGTGTTCTTCTTTAGTAACTGCTGATAAAATCGGTATCCTAAGCGAAAAAGACGAAACCATTGAAAACCAATTGGAACTCAATGAGCTTCGAGCGAAATACGACTACTATTCACAAGACAGAGGGATAGAAATTTATGAAAGATCCACTAAAGTTTCGATAACCAGAATGAGGTTCACCACTAGGAGAATGGTTAAAACACCTCGTATAAGTGTGGACCGCAAGTTGACCAGATATAAAATGTTCGACCTGACTCAGTCAAGAAACAAGGGAATATTTTGGGACTTCCTTCTGGCACTGAGGCCAATTCAATGTAACGCTTGGCGGAAGGCCGACCTTCTTAACCGGGTCTTACTGTTGCTCAGGGCTCCGGCGGTATTACTCTGCACCCTCTACATTCCGCTGGTCGACTACGAAATGGACAAACATGGCTGGAACAAGCTGCTAAATTGCCTTCATATCCTGATCAATCCGGCCTTATCCATTTCGGTTTTTATGTGTGAGTACAATCACTTACATTCATTACCTTACAATTTAAGGCTTCAAACTGGTTTTTACCCCCAAAAATTAAATATTTGTTTGCAAATAATGTTGCAAAATTAAACTTATTTTGATTATGTATTATTTTTATTCTGTGTCGCTCACCAAACTATTACTCAGAAAAGGCTTAATTTTGTGATTGGAAAAGGATGTACTACTGATCAGTTAATGGGTTCCGGTTTCGTTTTCAGGTCTCATAAATGCCAAGGGAAACACTCTTTGGTACTATGCCATGAAGGACCAAGGCATTTATGGGGTTTATTCCCTTGCATTTACTGCGCCGTTAGCCTTTTTAATGATCATACAGTCGCGGACTGACGTTCCTCCAGTTTATCATTGGGTGAGATCCTTTAGGGATACGACATTACTTTTCGGGCTAACTTGGTTGCGAATTTGCAGGCGTTTACGATTATGAATCTGACGGGCTCCATGTTCATAATCTTCCTCTGCGCAACAGAAATCGATAAGGTACTCGAAGTGATTGGAAATCTTTTGAACATAGATGACGACTTCATGGGCGCCACAGTGAAGGCTTTTACTGGGAATCTGGGAACGCTTTTCACCAACACTGCAGTAGCTGTGCACGGATATCCGAAAATGGCATATGCATCCGCCATCGGAGGACCTTTGTTCAGTGAGTAGTTGGTGTTTGTACAACTAGGAATGCTATAAAGCCAGATGCATAGCTATCATCGCAACTGGGAACACTGTTATCCACATCAGAACTTTAGTTGGTGAAGAAGTATCGAATCAAAACCAGATGGCAGAGTATGGGTATTTAGCTTTTGTATTTCTTAACATGGGACTATTTTTAATCCTGCTGTGGTCCACAACATTGGGAGGGTTTGCACGTCGCTCAATGGGAGTTTTTTCATTAGTTACCTATGGAATCTATTTGGTATTCGCCGTCTTGGTTCACGTAAATATCATTCATTCATTTTCGAATGACGCTGAGGTGAAAGCTGCATTTGGCGATATTTAGGTGATGGTATAGTATATATTAAAAGTTTTTTATTAAAAAAACATTTAGTATAGAGATTTTTAAAATTTGTTTATCGGTTATTTTAGATCTTGGAACGCACCTTACTGGGATTTACAACAAAAGTTAATATTTCTGCGCAGAATTTTCCCGGGAAAGGAAAGCACACATGGACATAAAAAAAAACCAAAGAATATCGAGCGTGCGTGGCTGAAGAAAAATGAGCAAGAATGGGAAAAGCGGTCGTTGACGTTCTTTGTTGACTGCGCAATTCCTTTTTTCCACTTGCAGCTTTAAGGATTTTCCACCAGGGAATGTCAATGACAGTTCACGAGCCAAAACATTTCAATTTTCCGCTGCATCATCTCAAAAGCGAGTTCGCCGACTCTTTTGGTAAGGATCAAGCAATTAAAATCGAACACTCCAGCAGACACCACTGCGTATGAGTCATATTTTCTATAGCTGCAAGCAGTTCTTAAATTTAATTATATTTCAATTTTCAAGTTGACGCCAAAACGGCATTTATAGGGTAAAGGAAAGAGGAAAAAAGAACTCAAAACACGGAGACACGTGTATTGAAAACTCCCCGTCGTTTTTTTATTAAAGCCCCCAGGATACCCAAAGCTTAAAATGTATGAGTGCTTGTGTACTCCATTAAGTCTAGAACATAAACGATAAATGCGATTTGGTTATTTAAGTCATTGCAACGAAAGCGTAGGGAAAATGTAGAAAATTTATAAGAGAAAGGACTGGAGGCAGCCTGCCCCACGCAAAAAGCACAAACACAGTCGTACCGCACACAAACACACCCGCAAAGGGAAATGGCGGATGACTCATCGAAGGAAAATGTTCGTGCCAAGCGTGTGAGTGTTGGTGTGGAACCTGGCCACAGTCGCGTCCCATCGAAATGAAACTGCCAAAGAGCAGAGGGCAAGAAACAGAAATAAGGAAGGAAGGAAGAGCGAACCAAGTGGTGAATCATCTTTCAAGAGGCAAGCACTCCTGCCTTCTGCGACGGCCCCTACTTCGCTCCCCCAACAACATTTTTTTTTTTGGTTCTCATAATTTCAAGGTTTGTTTACTCAGTGTTTCTGCTACAGAGGCAAAAACATAAAAAAAAATATTGTTTTTGAAATTAAGGCAAAAAAATTGTTTGACAAATGAAATTAATAAAAACGTATCAATTTATATTAAAACTTTAACAAATAAATAAAAAATTTTAACTTTTACTTGAAACAAGAACAACAAGAACAAATTTTAGAAATTCTAGCTATAAACTAATTTTTTCCTGAAGTAAGGAAATGTTTGAAATATGTTCAGCTAATTTGAACAACTTCATTCAATATCTACAATCAGTTTTGCAAGAGGTTAATTTAAATACTCTGTGGCCACCCCGACAAAAAGTCTCCAAGTAAAGTTAAGAAATATAAACCACAAACTTCGTAAACGTTTTTTACCCTGTAGTTTTTTATTTGCCACGCAAAACAGCCCTACTGCTGACAAGGAATGTTGTAACTTTCGGTGCCTAGCTGTCGCTCTATATATGTAGGATGTAATTTGCACACACGCGGCTGCCAGGACACGTTGATTAGTAAGTGATTCCATTCCGAGCAGTTTTTACTGCCTACTTTTTGGGGTACTGACCACACGTGATGAAGTAGACCGCAATGGGAGGCAGCCACGCCCCGAAAAAACGGGCAACTGCAATAAGGAACACTTAAAAGTGCAGCCCACAGGTAACATAAATCATTTTGGAAAACCACAGGCTTTTGGTCCCTTTCCTTGGCTAGCACAATTAATAATAAACAAGGGAAAATTGTCAGAACAGGAAGCCTTTGCACGACCAGGTGAGTTTTCCCCAACTCTTTCCACTTTCCTCTTTAATGCTGTTCAGCGGAAATTTATGTTTATTGCTTGGCCCCCACTGCGCACTCACTTTTTCCTGTGGGTCCTACTCTTTTTACTCTTTTTTTTTTTGTATAAGTATTATGCGTTATTTATTCATGGTCGCTTTTGAAGACACTTTATGAGGCAGTTCGTTCGCTCTGAGTTCGGAAAGGCGTTGCTTGGGTCTTTTGTTGAGAGGATGGACTTTGAGAATGAACCACAATTATTTTTCAAAGGGGAAGATACTGTGAACCTTGGTTTAGTCTATTATTAGAACAGCAAACAGCAATCACAAGCCAACAAGCTGCCTAAGTCTTCTTCAATCCATTGCATACTTGATCTATCTGTCAAGCTGGTCACTTTAATAACACCCCTTTGTCTGCCTTCATGACGCACAATTTTACACAGAAAATAATCACACTTTTGAACGAATTGTGAGCAATAAATAATAAATAATAAACATTTAATTAAACATATTTGTTTTATAGTTATAACTCCACTCTATCCCCGCTTGATTCGAAGAGCTAAACATATATGCTCTTATTGAACTACATCAAAATCAAGCTTTTATCCAAATTAATATTATTTAAAAATTATTTGTGATTATAAACATAGAACTTTACATGTATAAAACCGTTTCTTAACATAAATATATTTTAAAATTATTGTGTTCCGTTTTATATAATTGTGTATCAGTGGATTGTGGATTATGACTTTAAAGAGGGTTGTACGACATAACTTAAGGACTGCCTTATTTAAATTTACTTGGCAAATATTGCTAAAAATTTTATTAATTATTTTAAAATATTTTTTATATTTTTTATATTAAGTTTTATTTGAAGTTTTAATACTCATGAGATATATATTTTTCCCGCTAGAAATATGTAATGCGCAAAAAGGACATTTGAAGGCGGGTCCTTCGCCCACGCACGATGGGCAGACATCCTGTATCCTGTATGCTAGATATTCTCCCACACAAATTTGACACTTGAATGGGGATGCATTGAATGACTGAGTGGCACCGAGGTGAAGGCTGCCCCTTTGGACGCTCCCCTCTCCCGATCAAAAGGTCAGAAAACAACCGTCCGTCGGCAAACATTTGACTTGGACGGATACAGAGACAGACATCCCCGACAAATAGAGCTCCCCTGGCAACTCGATTTCCATTCCTGACGTCAATTGGCGAGGCGATAACATCGGCGTGGGTCGCAACGCATAAATGCGTCTGTTCTGGGTGGAAAACCTTTGGATGACAGGTTGCACCATATGCTCGGGGAAATTCGCAAACAACAGTCAAGAGGTTTTATTTTTAGCTGTTATAGAGGGGGCGGACAGCTGCTAAAGGACCTCAATGATCCGCAACAGGACGAAAAAGTTGGCTAGAGTTCCCAAGGGAGATGCGTGCGCAGTTCTGGGGCAACTGGCTGTAGAATATTGATTTTTCGCACAATTTTCGAATACAGTCAAGTGAAGTTTTTCCACAATGATTTAAAAATTATTTAAACTGAGGCTATTTTTCAACGTTTTAATTGACTATTTAAAATTTTAATGATAACTACTCACTTTGAAACTTAAACTTCAGCTACTCCTTTTTCTTCACAGGTTTCCTCACACAAACACAAACACAATTGTAGAAAATATATTTATTGCACTTAGGATGTTTCTCTATTTGTTTTGTATTCGTAAGCGCAGGAAAATAAGGGCTTTTTCTTTGTTTCGTTTTTTGGGTTTCGTCAGTGCGGACGATTTTCGAAGATGGCCATTACGCGAACAGGCAACAAACGACTCTGCCAGCGGCTGGTCGTTTGTACCACCATTCGGAAAAACGTGCTGGAAAATTGTTTGCAGCTGCGCGCACGCAAGTTTGGGAAAACTCGGTGGAAATGTGAATTTTCCGCCCCCAATTCCGCGGCAGGCTGACTTTTGTTTTTGTTTGTGCACAGCTGATCCGTTAGTGGTGAGACATTAGTAAGGGCGGCAGTGCTGGAAAATGCCGTAACAAGATTGCGGGAATTTTTCGCTCACTGAGAGTAAACGTACACTCGAAATAACATTTTAGCAATATACAAGTTCACTAAATAACTTTAAATCTGCTTTCCGCACAGCTTGCTTTACGCTGCTTGCCGACTAGACACCAAATCATATTTTATATACATAGGTTAATTGTAATTTTAAATAGAGGCTTGCCAAGAATTATAATTTCCTATAGCTTTTTGCGTAATCATGCGACATTCTAGTATACTAAATATAACTGATTTTTAAATTTAAAATCAAGTTTTTGATCAAAGATGATTGCAAGATTTTGGCTACCAACTAATATTCCTTTAAATAATATGGGCTCAAATAATTCATACAAATAATAATCTTTTCAACAAGTTAGTTGCAAGACTGGTACCAATTTATTATCTGCAACTAAGACTACAATTTGGATCTCAGATCCGCCGGTGCTTATAGATTACACATATATATGATGACTTCTGGTATTTAGCAGCTGAGCTTCTTGGCCTCCTGGAAACGGCAGGAGATGTCGTCCCAGTTGGCAATGTCCCAGATTGCCTCCACGTAGGAGGGTCGCACGTTCTTGTACTGCAGATAGTAGGCGTGCTCCCAGACGTCGATGCCGAAAAGTGGGATCAATCCGGTTGAGGCCTCCAAAGGATCCTGGTTGGGCAAGGCGGCCAGCTGCAGCTTTCCCGACTTCTTGTTGTAGCCCAGCCAACCCCAGCCAGACCCCTGGACCGCAACGGTCAACGTACTGAGCTCCTTCTTGAACTCCTCGAAGCTCTTCCACTGCGATTCGATGGCCTTCTTCAGTTCCTCGCTGGGCTGGCTCTTGTTCGGGGAGAGATTCTGCCAGAAGATGGTGTGATTGATGTGGCCGCCGCCATTGAATCGAAGGGCTGGGGCCAGCTGAATCAGCTTGGTGGTGTCGCTCTTCGACTTGGCCTCCTCCAACTGCTCCTCGGCAGCGTTCAGGTTGTTGACATAGGTCTGGTGGTGCTTTTGGTGGTGCAACTCCATGATCTCCCGGCAGATAATCGGCTCCAAAGCGGCATAATCGTAAGGAAGCTTTGGCAAAGTGTGCTTGCCACGTACTGCCAAACTGCAAGACATTCAGATTTAGTTAGGTTCTACATATGTGCACATATCCTCAAGATCAGGGTCGCCATTGTTATATGCTCTTTGTTGCTATTTATGTAACCAGCCGGCATCGATTTGGCCCTTTTCTACTTATTTTCACCTGCTACTCACCTCGCTGATTGGGTTATTCTACGCGCCACAAACATCTTATCGAATTGTTCAACTGCAAATTAAGTTTACTCCCTATCTGAGTTTTTAGATCCAAATAAAACAAAGCTTACGTTTTCGTTTTTTGCTTCGCCTTTTTGAACTATTTAATTCTTCTAGAGATGGGCGGGCAACTGAAAGTATCGAATGGACTATAACAGTCAGTGATGTAATTATAGTTCCCGCTTGGGATCATTTGTTGTTGAGATATAACTTATTGAAACTCAGCTATTATATTGTTATGCCTATTTAAAGTCGCTTGAATACATTAGAAAAATAATTGGTTTTGTTTTGTGATTTAAAAACAGAGTAAGTACATTTTCCACCTATCGATAGTGCCACTTCAAGTAATCGATAATTTCGCACACTTCTCGAAGCACGCCATCTAAAGGCGCCAACATTCAAATAACCCAGGAGTTGTACGTCTTTTGAAAAATACTCTGTCGGCAGTCACCCTTAAACACAAAAACATAGTACACAATATGTCGACATTTTACATACCTTCCCGTATCAATATCGATATAACCGACAAGCGTTCACAGTACATTCTCAACAAATATCTAGAAACCCGTAAGTCCTTTACTAAATAACCATTTCCAATGCAATGACTCATTTCCTTATCTAGCTCCTGGCGACATGAGCAGCGAGGATGACTCCAGACAAGCCGCTGTGGTTATTGACAACGGATCAGGAGTATGTAAGGCTGGATTCTCCACCAGGGACACTCCCCAGGTGGTCTTTCCCTCGATCGTGGGAAAACCCCGTCACCTAAACGTCCTGGTGGACTCCCTGATCGATGATAGTATCATTGGCGAGGCGGCGACCCGCAAAAGAGGAATGCTCACCCTAAGATATCCCATTGAGCACGGTGTGGTCAAAAACTGGGATGACATGGAGAAGATCTGGAAGTACACATATGAGCAGTTGCGGGCAGATCCAATGGACTATCCGGCTCTGCTTACGGAGGCGCCACTGAATCCCAAGATTAATCGGGAGAAGATGACGGAGATAATGTTCGAGACCTTTCGGGTGCCAGCACTGTACGTGGCCATTCAGGCCGTGCTTTCCCTCTATTCCACCGGACGCACAGTGGGCATTGTGGTCGACTCCGGGGATGGCGTTACCCACACAGTTCCGATCTACGAGGGATATGCCCTGCCCCACGCCTGCATTCGGGTGGATTTCGCTGGCAGGGATCTCACGGAATACCTCTGCAAGCTGCTCCTGGAGCGGGGTGTGAAGATGACAACTTCAGCAGAACGCGAAATCGTTCGGGACATTAAGGAGAAACTTTGCTATGTGTCCATGGATTGTGCCCGGGACTTGGAAATGGAAAAAGAACTGGAAGCGAATCTACGGGAAGAGGAGTATACTTATGAGCTGCCCGATGGCCAGTTGATCACTTTGGGCGCCGAGAGATTCCGCTGTCCGGAGGCCCTTTTCCAGCCCAGCTTGCTGGGTCAAGAGGTGATGGGCATCCACGAGGCCACCCATCACTCTATTGTCAACTGTGACATGGATCTGCGCAAGGATATGTACGGGAACATAGTGCTCTCCGGCGGAACAACCATGTTTCGGAACATTGAGCACAGATTCCTGCAGGAACTCACCAAAATGGCGCCCCTGTCCGTAAGGATTAAAATCAATGCCAGTCCCAGCCGCAGGTTCTCCGTTTGGACAGGTGGATCCGTGCTGGCTTCACTCACCAGCTTCCAAAATATGTGGATCGATGGCATGGAATACGACGAAGTTGGTTCGAGCATCGTCCATCGAAAGTGCTTCTGAGACCCATGAATGTTAGACTTTTAGTTGAGTTTATGATAGGCATTGTAAATATACATATTTTCTAGGTTTTAATTAATGTTGGAGTACGCATTTTTGAATTATGTATTTTCTATTTATTCTATTGGATTTTAATTGTTTCCCAAAATTCTCCATAATTTGTGTGTATATAAAATATGCTGTGATAGTGTCAGAGCAAGGGTTATCAGCATTGTGAACAGAAAATAATGTCTATGTACAACCAAAAACGTTTTTAACCTTGCGGTTTAATCTCTTGGTCCGTAACAAATTTGGTTGTAAATTTCATATTTCATTTGTTTTTTTTTAAAGGGATGAGGTATGAAAAGTGTAAAATCAAATACATTCCATACTTCTAAATACAGTTGTTACAGTTTACCTTGATTATTGATCGCCGATGAAAGGCTAAAAAGGGTCGGTAAAAATCTTGTTGTATTTTGGGGCATATTCATACCAATTATTAACTTAAATGAAAACTAATGTAATTATACAGATGGGGGAGACCCTATTTTATTTCACTGACCCGTCTTTCAAAATGTAATTTAGCTCATAATTTCATAAAATCTGATTTTGAATTGAACTGTATTTAAGTTAACAACTGCCATGTGCTTCCAATTTAAAGGTAACACGGCAGAGTACTGGAAATATGTTATTGCTATACCCTTACAGTGGTGAACAAAAGTCAGAAGTTTGCAACTCAGAGACGGAGACATTTCAGAACCTATTCTTGATAAGCACCACAATCGAAACCGATCTATACAACTACATTTGTCTTTTGGTTTCTCTGTCCGACAATCTGGTTCTATATAAACTTGTCTCTTGTTTTTAAAGCGTTCTTGCTGAAACTTTACCAAAAGTTGAATAGTTATTGCACCCAGTAAAAAAGTCGGAACGGGCCGGATAGGACGACTATCGAATAGCTCTTATAGGAGAGATCGAAAAATGAAGATCATAGAAAAGATCAAAAATCTTTATAAATTTAAGGGGCAACATAATAACATCGTTTTTTATCATCCGGTTTTTTTTGTATATAGAAAGTTCATAGAAAACTCGTTATAGCTTCGATGTTATTAGGCACCATGCAGTTTGCTCAACAGCAAGGTATTGGTTTCGACCATAGGTGTTTACAAGTTATTTATACAAAGATCGAATTGCTATATCGAACAGAATACCATAGAAAAATGAAAAAGAAAGTAAAATTTGTAAAAATTAATTATTTAGTACATTTGTTCGCTGACGTAATAAAGATCGAACTAAAAATAGGAACAAATCTTGATACTATAGATTTGTAATGACTGCAAGGGTATGTAAGCTTCGATCACTTATTGTTTTATGTATTATAGAAACAAATAAATATCGAACCAAATTATTGAATGTTAAACCGAAAAAAAGTAACTATGATTTTTCCATTATTGTGATTAAATAACAGCAAGATTCCCCAGAATAATTTTAATGAATTCCCCGACTTAATTATCTAATCGACAGAATAAAGTTCAAGACCTCTTTTGGTGCGCACATTGATAGCAAGAACGAATACATATTGCCAAATGCCGCCTCAAATTCTCAATAAAAATGCAATTATTAGCATCATAATACGCTGACAACTGCTGCATTTTGATTCTAATTAATTGCGAATTTATTAAGCCAAACGGCGCATACGAGAGTGTACGATTGCCACATCTCAGCGACAATCAAACACCACACAGTAACCTTAACTTCCTTCCAGTTGCACGTGCACCGGCGACAAGAGTTGCCGACAACAAAAGCCGACTTCCAACTCGCGAAGCGTTCACCTTCATAATCGTAATCATAATTGTCAAGCCCCATCATTTCGCAGTCAGCTGCACTTGAGGCCGAAGGCGCTTTTGTTTGAGCACTTCACTTGATTTCGATCACGGATCCAATCCGCAGAAAAGCTTGTTGCACACAAACAGCACAGCGCGTGCTTCTCGAGAAGCAGCTGCAAATGCAGCAGAGCCATGTGGATATAGCCTTAGCAAAAGCCCTTCTAAACGCATCTAAATGTTAATGTTTTACAGCTCAAGCACTTTAAGTATTACCTAATTATTTAACGACAATTTTAATTACTTCATGTTTTCCATTTTTACATTTTGACTGTTTGAAAGTGAGATAATTTAATGATGATTTGTATAAAATTGACTGCAAGCCTCAACTCAACAGCTTGTCCAAAAGTATGAAATTAAGGAAACATATATATCATACTACATACTCTATGTACTTATATTTCAGGGTTGGTCCAATTAGCAATGTCTGCTTAACCTTTGTAGACTTATTTTGTTATTTAACAACAGAATTGTTAAAATTTGTTTTTTATGCCCTTCAGCCTGTATTTTAGCATGTATGTCTTGAGTTAATGTATATGTGGATTTTCTAGTTGGGACAGTTTGCTTGGGATTTCACCACTATATTAATAACATCCAGGATTAAAGTGCTTAAAGTCTATTGCTAACAGATGCAGAACTGAGCAGCCACTCCATATTGTTGGTATTCTATGGGTTTGCTATTATTGTTCTTGTTTAAGAAGCAGGCTTCAGGATTAAGGTAGGTGACCATAATAATTTTTATGTATTCTAGTCTCACAGTTTTGAAGCTATCTTGCTGAAACTTTACCAAAGGTTGTGCAGTTATTGCACGCTGTATATAAGTCGAAACAGAAGACGATATAGGATAGCTCCCATAAGAAAGATTGAAAAAATATCGGGAAAAAAACATGTCAACATGTTTTTTCGATATTTGGTTTTTTAACTACTATTGAGTTTCGACTTTAATTTTATCAAAATTGGATTACTATATCATATTGCTGCCATAGGAAAGATCGAAAATTCTATAAATCACTAATGAAAACAAAATAATACCGTTGTTGTTTTTTATAAGTAAAAATTTTCTTGTTTGTTTTATTTATTTCACCCATAAAATTTAATTCGAGATTCATGAGTCCTTAAAAACACACCATCTGGAAGAAATCATGCCAATATGATAAACAGCAACAGCGAAGTAATTTTCTCCCGTTGTTTTTTCGATTTCTTGCATGGCAATTAAAAAATCGAACAACCATATCACATAGCTATAGTATGGAAAATCGTCGAATATATAGAAAATATATGGGCTTCGGTTCACCATGTTTTCATCTTGTCTTGGTTTTTCATTGTAATACAAAATTTATGTTCTGCATATTTTGATGGTGTTTTTAAACTAATCAAGCCATCTGGGCTGTTTTCAGTGGCAAACTATTACGCGATCGGCCAGGTGAGGCTGGATATTGAGATACATTCGTTTTGGCAGCTGCTTGAAAGGGTTTTTCATGCCGAACAGATATCTGTGTCATGTCGCTGGCGGTGACTGATTTGATTCTTTGTTGCTGACTTCTGGATCCAAGGTTGCGTAATTTTATCACCTCACTTTGCTCCTGCAGAAGAGCTACTGCAATTTAGTAAATTGTTTCCATTTGGTTACCTCATGGCTAACGCGGATTTCTGTATCACGGTTGGACCTTTCTTTTTCGTATATATTTATTTTTTATTAACCACCCGAACACAGATGAATTCAAATTCGTGGGGCTATAAATTAAAAATGGACATGAAGCACAGCATGGCAGTTAGTTGGGGCCTACGGAGATGGAGGAATCTTTGTGTCAGTTCGAGAGTCGCTGCTTCATGAGCTTGAAGTCGGATTTGGCCAGGTTAAAATGTCTCCGCATCGTCTGGGGTCTGGATGATGTCGCCGCAGTCGCTAATTTCATATGCATGCAATGGAGCGTGGTCTAATGCGATGTTGTTTGCCGCAGATGCATGTGCACGTTCGATAGCCTGCAGGTGATTCTTGCAGTTCCGAGGATAAGGGGCCTTTCCTTCTCCAGCCGCAAACCAAATACATACATATATTGCTTGTCTTATCTTCGATTGTCTGACTCAACTTTATGTTGCCTTAACTAAAAAATATTTAACATTTAATATTCAATATTTTCCGATTCCTTATTATAATAAATATGGTTTCTGTGACCTGGAAATGGAAGTCCTTGTAGCCCCAGGAAGTTTGAATGAAACTACAAGTGATGTTTAGCACCATTTGTTCGGTATTCAATGTGTTAAATGATAAAGTTCATTTAGTCGCCTAATTATTAAATTCAAGTTCAAGGTGCGGTGCAAAAAACCAACGTGGGGACTTTCTGTAAATGAGTAGTTTTCGTACACTGGGTACACTACCGGAATGATCGTAGCAAGACACTACAATATCATCTAGTGCTGATATGTACAAATGTACTTGGGTGCATTAGAAATATAAGGTGAGAATGCCAAATAAATATGAATATCCTAGAATTATTTGAAATATGAGGTGTGGCGTGGCCTTCGCTCGGAACTATGGATGCCAAGTAAGGGTTTGCACGAAGATTAAATTAGCAGGAGGTCACTTCCGCCAACGACGAAAAGGTTGAGATAGAGATGAACAGTCAGAGTTTTTTCATTCAGACAACATAATCTAAACACAAGAAAATTTCTTTTTTGAAATATCAAATATGTTTTTCTACACTTGCTACCAAACGTTTGTTGCTGAGCAAAAGAAATGAGTAGGCAAACTAAAAAGTTAATCTGTAAGCAAAATAATTTTTATTTTAAACATCGATAAGGGATCGATATTTTCCGCCAAAAACTTCAAGCACATCGATTTCTGCGAGCATAAAAAATCATCCACCTCTAATGTAAGGTTATGCGTAAAACACGAGTATCGCCGCTTAGTAAAGAACGCGCCGTTAAAAATTCTCGTTATTTTCGGTTCGACGACGTTATATTATTTCAGTGCCGGTATAATATGTGATAAAAGGATACTCCCAAGTCGATACTTATTCAGAACGTGCTTAGTGTTGTGAGAGGCTACTAATGTGTAGCGGGTCGCAAATGATACAAACAGACGATCAGCATAAACATAAATAAAATATTTTCATTATCTGTTACACAGTTACTAATTCAATAGATACTTTATTACGTTAACTGTTACGTACGAAATGACCAATATGACAATCTGGAATAAGTTTATGCTTTTATTGTGGAAGAACCTTATCATCCAATGGAACCATAAGTGGAAAACTATCTTAGAACTGGTGTCGCCAATTTTTTTTGCCCTGATCTTCGTTGTACTCCGTTATGCGATCCCAACGAGTTCGGTTAGTCTCCACATTGACGACATTGGGTACAATATTGTAGATTTTTCTAACAAAGAGTAAGTTTTTCCTAGGATAATTTAAATAATTTTTTTAATTTATTTGAATTTAACCACCCCGCAATAAATTTAGGTGGCTTAGATGGCTTGTCGATTTGATATTTCTTTGCTATTATTTTGATTACAAAAATTGTTGATTTTTTACTGATAAAGGTTTATATCAAAATAAGTTCGAAAATAAAAACAAAAACAACAAGAAAGGAAGCTAGATTCGGCAAGCCGAAGCTTATACAACCTTGCAGTCTTCAAAAATGTCGAACAAAATACATAACGGCTAAACACCATCGAAGCTATGACGATTTTTCTATTAATTTTCCATATTTTCGACTATTGGTCATATAGCAGCAATATGATATAGTCATTCAATTTTGATGAAATTTAATGTGTAATTCAATAGTCGTTAGAAAAAATTATTCCAAAAATCATGATTGTCTAAAGAAAAACCACGACTTTATTTTGAAAATCATGCTCGGGGGATTTATAAGAACGACGTTATATTCTTGTACCATTATTTACAAATACATATATTTTATGATCTCTCCTATGGCAGCTATATGATAGAGTTATCCGATTTTGATAAAATTTAATCCGAAATTCAATAGTAGTTAGAAAACGCCATCTGGAAGAAATCAAGTCGATCTGATCAAAACGGCGTAGGAATTTTTTATTTCATTGTCCCGTATGGAAGCTATGCGATATAGTCTGCGGATCCGGCCCGTTCCGACTTATATACTGCGTGCAATAACTAAACAAACTTTTGGGAAAGTTTCAGCCAGATAGCTTTAAAACTAAGAGACTAGTTTGCGTAGAAACGGACAGGAGGACAGACCGACAGACGAACAGACTTACAGACGTATTCAGGGGCGGATACAGGTGTCTGCCTGGGGGGGCGATCAAAATTTTTTTTTAAACAATGCAAGTAGCAGGTGGCAAATAATCAAAAATTATACGCAGTTTTATTCAAAACACTCTGTACAAATAAATTAATTAATTTTAATCTAAATGGCGAATTCCATTATTCTTTTCCCTCTTTTTAAAAACTTTTCTATAACTCTCTCGATGTGAATACTGATTTCGGAATGCGTATGTAGCAATGCTAGGCTAGTTAGTCTTAGGAGGAGCGATAGACAAGGGAAGAAGTAGGGCAAGGAAGGACTGGCGACACGCTGTAACACGCAGGTTTCCGAAGTTCACGCCAGTGAAGCACCTTTTTCAGAAGCTGAGGGGGGCGATCGCCCCTATCGCCCCCCCTGTATCCGCCACTGGACGTATTTGGATTCTGATCGTGATCTTATCGAGAATAAAAATACTTTATGGGGTCTGAGGTGTCTCCTTCACTGCGTTGCAAACTTCTGGCTTTATACTTTTTGTTCTGCAAGGGTAAAAAAATTAATAGAGTGGGTTTGCCGCAATAGCCGACCAACTAAAATTAAGGCTAATATTGAAAAGCCATATAATAATCGTAAAATACCACGCAAGTGGGAAGCTCTCATCTAAATTTATTTATAGAAGCCTTCAAATATGTAAACATAATTAACTTGAAAACTATAGTACAGCCCATCTGAGATGATTGTGAGTATAGGAAGGCAACGACAAAAATGTTTGTTGTCTCCTTTTTTAGATTTCAGTTTAATTACGAGGCTATACAAGTTCTTACCCTGTTTTTAGAATGGTTAACCACAGGTCAACTTTTTTTTTTTAAAAGCAAATAAATTATCTCTTATAGACTACTAGGTTTATGTAAGCTTTAACATTCATAAAAACATATATAATTAGTTTTAGAGAGGGTTGGAGGCTCGAAGTCTTCAACTTACCCGTGTACTATTCACCTGCGAATGATGTATTGGATACATTTCTCGGCGACAATTTGTACAATATCACCCTCATCGCATCGAAAAACGCCGTTCAACTGGAATCGGATGTGATCCAAAACAAGGCCCTAGCCGGCATTCAGTTCGATGATGCTTGGGCCAATCTTACGGACAGAATTCCAGATGATTTTCGCTTTGCTCTTCGATTTCCATCAGAACCCAATTATTGGCGTACAAACGAACTGTTTCCCACAATTGATCTCAGGGGACCCAACCATGGCAATCCGAGGTATTTTGAACAGGGATTCCTGGCTTTGCAACACTCCCTTTCCATGGCCTTCATACGGGACAAAGGCTACATCGATGACATGCCGACACATATGCAGTACTATCCTTATCCCACCTACACAAACGACAATTTTATCACCTGGTTGACTCTGTTGCTTCCGTGTTTCATCGTGCTGAACTTCACTTACCACTACATGGGTATGATTAAGGTAAGCAGTGGCTATATCCGGATTGAAGGTTTTACACCACAATACTTTGAATTTCAGTTTATCGTCGCAGAGAAGGAGAAACAACTCAAGGAGATTATGAAGGTCCTAGGATTGGGGAACTGGCTTCAGTGGACTGCTTGGTTTGTCAAGTTCCAAATACCGCTTACCTTATCAGCCATTTTCATCACCGCAATTCTCAAGATCGACACGAAAAATGGCGCCATTTTGCCAAATACTGATCCAACCGCACTGCTCTTTTTTCTTGTCGTATACTTCATTGCGAACACCTGTTTCTGCTTCATGGTGAGCTCCATGTTCTCGAAAGCCCGCAGAGCAACCACTGTCATGGCCTTGGTAAGCATCCTTGCGCTCATACCGTACTTCTGCACATTTCATAACGCCAGCCTGTGCCCTAAAGTGGTGTGGAGCTTAGTTCCGAACTCGGCCCTGGGACTTGGCTTTAAAGTGATCGTGAACTTCGAGGAGGTTGGCGATGGTCTGCAGTGGAGAAGTATGTTCACACCCGCTTCCGAGGGCAATCCCCTGACCATGGGCGTCGTTATAATTACGATGATGGTCTCCAGTGTAGCCTGCATGATCATTTGCTTGTATGTGGAGAAGGCCATGCCGGGAGGCATTGAAGATCTGCGCCCCTGGTATCTTTCATTTACCCAGACAGGCGGGAATACCGAAGGACAACTCGCGGAGGTGGAGACCGTGCGGCTGAAGCAACTGGATCCCTCTTCTTTTGAAGCGGTTTCGGAAAACAAGCAAATCGGGCTGAAGATCACCAACCTCACGAAGCGCTTCGACGACAAAACGGCGGTCAAGGGCTTATCCATGAACCTGTACCAGGACGAGATCACGGTCTTGCTGGGGCACAATGGAGCCGGCAAGAGCACCACCATATCAATTTTGACGGGAGCGATTCCGGCGACAAGAGGCAATGCCATCATAAACGGCAGTGATATTACCAAAAACGCCGAGGAGGCGCGCCGGTCTATAGGAATCTGTCCACAGCAAACTGTTCTCTTCGACGAGATGAGTGCGTCGAACCACATTCGATTCTTCAGCCGGATCAAGGGACTCCGCGGAGAGGCCGTGGAGATGGAGGTCACGAAGTACCTAAGCATGATCGGGCTGGAGCACAAGGGGGATGTGGTCTCGTCTAAACTGTCTGACGAAATGAAGCGCAAGCTGTCCGTCTGCTGTGCCCTGTGCGGCGGCTCGAAGGTGGTGCTGTTGGACGCACCGAGCTCCGGGATGGATCCGTCCGCCAGGCGGCAGGTCTGGGATCTCCTCCAGAAAGAGAAGTTCGGACGCACCCTGCTGTTGACCACGCATTTGATGGACGAGGCCGATGTGCTGGCTGATCGCATTGCTATCATGTGCGACGGTGAGCTTCAGTGCCACGGCACCTCCTTATTTCTAAAGAAGCGATTTGGCTCAGGATACCAACTGGTGAGTGTTGACCCGGCCCAAAGTAGTGGGGCATAGTTAATTTACTTCTGAACCTTGCAGACCATTGCTAAGCGCAAGGACTGCAGCACGAACGAGGTGACGGCCCTGCTGAACAAGTACATTCCGGGTCTGAGGCCGGAGCGCGACAATGAGACCGAGCTGTCGTACCAACTGCCGGATAGCCTGTCCCCGAGGTTCGAGGAGATGTTCAGCCAGCTGGAGGAGCGTTCAGAGGAACTGCACTTGAACGGCTTCGGCGTCAAATTCAGCACGCTGGAGGAGGTGTTCTTGAAGGTGGGCGTCGATAATGAAAGCACAGAAAATGATAAGAACCCAAGCGGAATGATGAACGGGAAGGAACAGCGTAAGCACGGTTTGATCTGGACCTCGTACCTTTAACTTGAATAAGCTCAATTTACTGATTTTAGCCCACGATATCTTTGAGGACAGTCTGCAGCCGCTACAAGGACTACAGCTTCTGTTAAATCAATGCAAGGCCATGTTCTTGAAAAAGGGATTATACACTTGGCGGAAAAAATATCTCTTGTTCGTTACACACGTCATTCTGTTGATCTTCCTGGTAACCTCTTTCCTGAACATCCTCCCGACCTACGATCAGAGTCCCATGACAATATCGTTAGCCCAATATCCCTCCACTGTGAGTGTTGTGGATATTTCTGAAGTAGGAAGCCACTCATTGGAATACAAGATGGGCCAGGAGTACGCTAATCTGGTTAATTCGTATGGCGGCGACCACAAAGTGGAGTTGACGGGCACTAAAAATTTTAAAGTAGGTAGATATCCTGACGCTCGGCTTTTTAATATCTTATATTCTTTTCTTTTAGGACTACATTTTAGGGATTGGAGATGCAAAACAGACGGGGATCAACCCGCGCTACCTCGTGGGCGTTTCTATTTCATACTATGGTATCGCTGCCAGGCTAAATAACCAGGCTTATCACGCGGCTCCTTTAAGCCTCAACTTGGCTCATAACGCTTTGGCCAGGGCGGCAGTCCATCGACCTGTTCGTATCGAAGTTACTAACGCGCCTCTGCATTATTCCAAACCCTCTAAAGATGGATTTGGTCAACTGAGAGAATGGTATCAGAGAAATTACCTCTCGTACAGTCTGTGCCTTGGCATGCTCTTTGTGTGCTCGATATACGTCGTGCTTCCGATTGAGGAGCGCAGGTCCAACGCTAAGTTGCTGCAATTTGTCGGTGGTGTGAAAGCATGGATCTTCTGGTTGACACAGTTTGCTAGTGATTTTGCCATCCATTTAATAACATGCCTAATTGTGTTCATCCCAATCCTTTTCTTACTGGAACCGGGATATTTGGCTCTTAGTGAGCTGGGCATCTTATTCATAGTGCTGATTATCTTTGGTTTTTCGGTTATACCGTTTATCTACCTAATGTCGTTTTTCGTAAAAAATACGCCTACAGTTTTTATTTGGAATGCTTTGCTTTTTGTTTTTACCCTTATTGGCTATACAGCAGCGGCAATGAACGAATTTAAAATACATTTTGTGTTCAAATTGCTGTTCAGTTTGTTCCCCCAGATATCCATATTAGGGGGTGTATCCAATGTTTTTTTCGTCAGGTTTTTTGGGAAACAAAAGTGTACTAGTGTTGATGGAGATACAAGCTGCAACTCGGAACCTTTTTATGAAAGTGAGTAAAAAGTATGAAGACTTATACTTTTGCAGTGGGTATTTCAGTCAGAAGTTTGTAATATAGCGGAGAAGACACTTCCGACTTCATATAAATATTATCCATCTGTGGGGATTTATAATTTTATCGCTCTGAAAGTGTTGTTACTATAGATTTGTCTAGTCGTTAAAAAAATGTAACTTCTATCTGTTATACCCTCCTCACTACAAGGGAATAGAGTTCACTTTTCTGTTTAAGTCAACGATATAAATGAAATGTAATGTACCATAATATTTATATTAACTATGTTTCAATTTCCAGATTCTAATTTGTTATTAACGTGGGAAAGTCCTGGAGTACTATCGGAATTGGTCTCCATGATTTGCAGCGGCGTATTTTTCTTTTTCATCACTTTATTGTTGGAGAGTCGGGTGATCCAGACGCTGATGTTTAAAATGCGGCAAAATCTTAAGTAAGAAAATAGTTGGCGCTTGGGTTAATGTTCCTCCTTTTCACACAAACGCGTATTTCTGTATTAGAAAAACAGCTCTGCCGCCCCCAGAAGGTCACTTGGAGGAAGACGTGGATCGGGAGCGAAGTCGCATCCTTTGCTTAACCCAGGACGAGGTGGCATCCAAGAAGCTGGTGATGGATAGACTCACAAAGAACTACGGCAAATTCCTTGCTGTTAATCAGGTGTCGTTTTGCCTAAACGGGTAAGGTTTAAAACTAGTTATGTGCTTAGAAATGTTTTTAAAAGTAGAAATATTGGATTGCAGTTATACAGCAAGCAAGTTCAATGAATTCTGAGTTTAAAACACATTGCAAAATACTTTAAATACCCTTGCATTTCAGGTGTTTTCAATTAGGTGAAAGAGACACGTTTATACCCCATGTAATTCTGTCTGTCTGTATATTTCGACGCAAACTAGTACCTTAGTTTTAAAGCTATCTGGCTGAAACTTTACCAAAAGCCTTCAAGTTACTGCAGTTACTCTACCAATGCTCATTATGTATAGTTGTTATTTAGTGGTAATAGTTTTCTAGTTTTCTGAAAAAGTCATAGACTTAAGTTCTAACTGAAAGGGTATATTTGCTTCGGCGCACCTGAGCTAGCTTCCCTTCTTGCTATAGTCTAAAATATATCAAAGACCCTAAAACTGTCCTCATAATTCTCCTTCCTTTGCCACTCAGTAGCGCCGAATGCTTTGGATTGCTTGGAGCGAACGGAGCCGGAAAAACGACCACGCTCAAGGTGATGACTGGCGAAGAGCGGATCAGTTCGGGGACCGTCCACGTCCAGGGTAAGGCCGTTGGGTGGAACATGAGCGGGATCTACCAGGTGATCGGCTACTGTCCACAGTTCGACGCGCTACCAGAAGCTCTTACGGGTCGGGAGGTGCTGAGAATTTTCTGCCTGCTTGGCGGAGTGCGGAGTGCGAGCATCAGGCAGGTTTCCGAGGACCTCGCCAGGTCCTTGGGCTTCTCGATGCACCTTGACGAGCGAACGGAGTCCTACAGTGCTGCAAACAAGAGAAAGCTGAGCACGGCCATCGCCGTGGTGGGAAGTTCCTCGGTGGTTCTCCTGGACGAACCCTCATCCGGCCTGGATCCGGCGGCAAGGCGCCAGCTGTGGAACGTGGTCAGCCGCATCCGCGACTCCGGCAAGTCCATCATATTGAGCTCCCACAACATGGAGGAGGGTGAGGCGCTCTGCACCCGACTGGCCATTATGGGGAACGGCAAATTCCTCTGCCTCGGGTCCACGCAGCACCTAAAGAGCAAGTTCTCCAAGGGCCTGATCCTTAAGATCAAGGTGAAGGAAACCAATGCCGTCATAGAATTCATTAGGAGCCATTATCCGCATTCCGTTCTCAGGTGGGTGAAATATTTATTTTGATGGCCTTGTTGTGGTAACTTATCGTTTGTCGCATAGGTATTCTACCCTGGGTCTTTTGACATTCGTCATTCCTCTGAACGAGGCCAAATGGTCGGGTCTGTTCGTGGTGATGGAGGAGAATCGTGTCCGGCTGGGTGTGGAGGAGTACTCGGTCAGCCAGACTTCGCTGGAGGATATCTACTTGGATTTGCTGGAAACCAACAGGGATCAACAATAAGTTGAACTTATATATGATTTGTTCTCTGTTCATTCTTTTTTACTTGTTTTTTTATTTTAAATAAAAAATGTATGTCCTATATAATTTGTTGATTCTTTTGAACTTTTCAGTGGCAAACTATTGCGCGATCTGGATTTCGAGATGCATTCAGTTTGACAGCCGCTTGAAAGGGTTTTTCAACCCAAACAGATATCTGTGCCAAGTCGTTGGCTGCGGTGACTGATTCGATTTTTTATGGCTGACTTCTGACTCCAAGGTTTCGTAATTTGATCACCTCACTTCGCTCCTTCGGAAGAGCTACTGCAATTTAGTAAATTGTTTCCACTTGGTTACCTCATGGCTAACGTGGATTTCTGTATCACGGTTGGGCCTTCTTTTCTCGTATCTATTTATTTTTTATTAAACACCCGAACACAGAAGAATTCAAATTCGTGGGGCTATAAATTAAAAAGGGACATGAAGCACAGCATGGCGAGTGGGTGGGGGCAGCCAAGGGAGTGGAGGCTTCATTGTGTCATTTCGAGAGTCGCTGCTTCATGAGCTTGTAGTCGGATTTGGCCAGGTTGAGATGTCTCCGCATCGTCTGGGTCTTGGATGATGTCGCCGCAGTCGCTAATTTTATATGCATGCAATGGAGCGTGGTCTAATGCGATGTTGTTTGCCGCAGATGCATGTGCACGTTCGATAGTCCGGAGGAGATACTTGCAGTTCCCAGGGTGAGGGGCTTCTCCTTCTCCGGCCGCAAACCAAAATAAATAGCTCGTTTTGGTCACCCAGCCCCAGCCATGCAGCTTATTGAATTACTTGTTGATTTGCCCTTGAGTCATATCAAATTAAGTCAGAACGAAAATGTATGCGAACCTGGAACGGGAAAATATACCATTGTTGTCAAAGGAAGTCGTGGTTCTTTATACCCTTAAGTAATGTTGTTGGTACAACCTTAATATTAAAATCATATTTTTTAAGTACGAGTTTCCATTTTAAATTTAAATACAATTTAAGAAATAATCATCAGAATATCAAATGCAGAACTGTTTGGAATTTTTTATTTGATATGTTTTAGTTAAGTTAGGTTTTTTGTTTTAATGTTGAAAAAGTAGAGTATAACATAAGGAGTTTCCAGTCGTGTTCCTATTGCGCAGATGCCAACAAAAACAATAAGTTGAGGGGAAGGTCTGGATTTTTCCCTTGTTTTCTGATAGTGAGTCCTGTGGCAATGAGTTCATTATCCAAACAGCAACGCAATGAAACAGACCTCTCGCCTTCGCTGGATTTGTGCCTGCGGATTCGTCATCTCCGTGTACTCACTGTACGTGAAAATGAAGCTGCAGGAGGATGAGAGCTACAGGCCTCTGTGCGATGTAAACGAGAATATTAGCTGTTCCTTGGTCTTTAAATCAGAGTGAGTTAAATAATCTTTGGCGAAATCACAATGGGAAAGTTTTGATTTTCTTCTTGAATCTCAGCTACGGTAATGGATTCGGTCTTAGTAAGATAACCAAGTTGAACCCGCCCAATGGAGTCATTGGATGTGTCTTTTATTCCATCTATTTTTTTGAGCTGTAAGTAAGACTTTTGATACAGGGATTTCATTTTTAAATAAACTTTATCTACAGCTTTTTTTGAACTTAAGTGGTTGTGCCTGGCCCAATTGCTGGCTTGCACTTTGACACTCCTGCTTTGTCTTTACCTGGGATTCCTGCTGGTGTTCGTCTTTTATGACTGCTGCTTGGTGTGTCTGGCAATTTATTTAATACACACATGGCTTTTTCAGGAAGTTTTAAAGCGCTACAGAAGACTCTATATGTAATAAGTTCAAGCCCAACTGAAAAATACATTTTAAGCCATGCTGAAATTATGAAGTAGATAAAGGGTTAAGTTGCGCTACACTAACCAGTGAGTTATTTTAAGCTGTCGACGTGTTTGGGCCAAGATCTTCATCTTCATCATTCGCTTTTGACCCGCACGTCTGGCTGGAAGCAGGATCTGGAGCCGGCAACTTCCAACTCCCATGACCAAGCACGTAGTTGGCAATTAATTCTGCACGTTCCCATTTGCCAGCAAAGGCTGTGATCTGTGATCTGCGATCTGCGATCCGCGAATGGCGCTACTGCCAACATAGTTAGCCAAGTTAACAAGGTGGGCGGACTGCGAAAAGCCAGCGCAATTAATTTCCCATAAGTTCGGCGGGAATCTTTTCGTGTGGGCTGAACAACTATATCAATGAATGGGTGGGAGTACAATAAACATAGCCAGTTTCCAGCGCGGCCTTCAAGAGTTATGATGCTTCTGTGAAAAAGCTAATTAGATAGTTCCTGAATTGCAGAAATTTATTTTGGTCTTCAATCAAAATATTTATTTTGAGTCAATTAGAATTTTCAATTTCATGTTGCCAATGAGAAGGGAGAAAATATAGCTTCTGAGATTTCTGCCTACTAAATGAATATCTACGATTTGTTTTTTTAAGGCAAAAAATATCAAAATATTTCCTTTTACTATTATTATTAAATGAAAAGTATTAAGATTGCTTGCATTTTAGTTATCTGATAAGTAAATTGTAATGCTTTATTTGCTTTATTATGCCTTAAGCGACATATATTTTTCAAACGAAATAAGAATACTTTTTGTTGCGGACTCATTAAAGTTAATGCTATCAAAGGCGATTTTTCGTTGCCATTGATAGTTTTCGTTAGTTTCGCATCAAATTGAGCTGTCAGCTGGAGTGAACTGGTGATCTCCATTTCAAGCATAATCAATAAAATACTGATTCCGCTGATTCCCGTAGTATAGATCGTCGGCATACCCTTCTCCACAATCTCCATGCCGATCGGTTCGACCCTTCTCCACCCAGCAGACGCATCATCTGCGGATCCTACTCCCAATTGGGGTCGCCGCTTGCACGATCTTCTTCAATGTGTCGCTGGGCTCTTTTTCTATTTCATTTTTTTCGTCGCTCCGACAAGACAAGGCAAACAAATGCGAGCTTCGTCGCTTGTCACAGCTGAACCAACCACTCGCTTGGGCGAGTGAGCTCACATTCACCCGGCGGAGTGACGACCGAGTAGACTACTTTGGGCCAACGCAACAGCGGATCCCGAGGCTTTCGGCATAGGTACAATCGCCTCCTCCTCCACCGCCTCCGCCTGGTGAAGATGTGCGCCAGAAGAAGGCAAATCAGCTCGAGACCGAAATACCCTTCACGTGCCATCTGGCGACGATGAGGTGCGGAGCGGAGTGGAGTGGAGTGGAGCGGGCTCAGATTGAGATTTTTGCTTGGCTTGAACCGCATAGAATCAGTCACCAGCTTCTCCGAAGACGATCGTATGTGGCAGCCGCAACAGAAACAGCAACAGCAGCAGCAGCAGCCAGCTGTTGTGTCGGTTGCCACACGCTCCAAAAACCACCTCCGACTCATAATCGAGTTCGTGTGTGTGCATCCTAGACTTTCAGTTTTTCAGTTTTTCAGTGGATCAGCTTTTCAGCTTGTCGACTCTTCGGTTCGGTTTGCCACATATAAATACGCCATGTGGGGGCAACCACAGATCAGTCAGAATTCGGCGCTGCTCCCAAGCGCTAGCCCCATCCCAGAGATTCGATTCGATTCGATCGGTGATCAAGCAGTCGGTGGTCCAGCTCCAAGTGGAATATGTTCAAGTTGCTCGGTTTGACGCTGCTCCTGACGGTGGTGGTGGTCCTTGGTCGGCCGGAGCCACCAGTCAACTCCTATCTCCCGCCATCCGATAGCTACGGTGCCCCGGGTCAAGGCGGTCCAGGTGGTCCAGGTGGTCCGGGTGGTGCGGGCAGGCCCTCGGACTCGTACGGTGCTCCTGGCAGCGGCGGCGGCGCTGGACGACCCTCGGACAGCTACGGAGCTCCCGGCTTGGGTCAGGGTCAGGGTCAAGGACAAGGACAAGGTGGCTTCGGCGGCAAGCCCTCGGACACGTATGGTGCTCCTGGCGGAGGAAACGGCAACGGCGGTCGTCCTTCGAGTAGCTATGGTGCTCCTGGTCAGGGCCAGGGTCAAGGTGGATTCGGAGGTCGCCCCTCGGACTCGTACGGTGCTCCTGGCCAGAATGGTGGCTCCGGCAGCGGCGGACGACCGTCGAGCAGCTACGGCGCTCCCGGACAGGGACAAGGCAACGGAAATGGCGGTCGTCCTTCGAGCAGCTACGGTGCTCCTGGCGGCGGAAATGGCGGACGACCCTCGGACACTTATGGCGCTCCAGGCGGCGGCAATGGAAATGGCAACGGCAACGGCGGTCGTCCTTCGAGCAGCTACGGTGCTCCTGGCCAGGGTCAGGGTCAGAATGGTGGATTTGGCGGTCGTCCTTCGGACTCTTATGGAGCTCCTGGCCAGGGCCAAAGACCCTCGGATTCGTATGGCGCCCCGGGCACTGGAAATGGCAATGGAAACGGCAACGGCAACGGTGGACGTCCTTCGAGCAGTTACGGAGCGCCCGGATCGGGTCCTGGGGGCCGTCCGTCCGACTCCTACGGACCCCCAGCCTCGGGATCAGGACCAGGTGGCGCCGGAGGCAGCGGACCCGGTGGCTCGGACTACGAAAACGATGTGAGTAGCTGGTAGTTTGTGAATACGGTTTTCTGGTTTTATCGGGGATCACTGGGTGAAAAGGACCAACGCAAAAAAAAGTTAAGGAAGGGGAAGGGGAACACCGCTCCACCGCCAAAGCACCGCTGCACTTTTGACCCCGCAATCTCTGCCAGACTCGTTCTCGCTCACCTGCACCGCCGAATGGCGTTTAAAGCTTGCATCCCCACAGCAAATTGAATTCTTGATCCCAGACACTCTATCTCTCTGTGTTTCTCTCTTTCTCCACACGCCCCAATCCGCTCTCCATTCTCCATGCTCCATGCTCCATGCTCCATGATCCATGCTCCATGCTCCATGCTCCATTGGTGCGGTTTGTCCGGCGTTTAGGAGCCCGCCAAGTACGAATTTAATTACCAGGTCGAGGACGCGCCCAGCGGACTCTCGTTCGGGCACTCAGAGATGCGCGACGGTGACTTCACCACCGGCCAGTACAATGTCCTGTTGCCCGACGGAAGGAAGCAAGTAAGCGGCGGCTGCGGCGGCTGAAGCGGCGGCAACCATGAGTGCCACTCCTCCAACGGCTCCTCTTGTTCCTCTACCTCCCGGCACTGCTAACCCCGATCCTTCTCTGCGTCTTCCAGATCGTCGAGTACGAGGCCGACCAGCAGGGCTACCGTCCGCAGATCCGCTACGAGGGCGATGCCAACGACGGCAGCGGTGGCAGCGGTCCTGGTGGCCAGAACCTGGGTCCCGACGGCTACTCCAATGGGCGTCCTGGCAATGGCAATGGCAACGGCAACGGCGGTTACTCCGGAGGACGTCCTGGCGGTCAGGACTTGGGTCGCGATGGTTACTCCGGCGGTCGTCCTGGTGGCCAGGACTTGGGTCAGGGTGGCTACTCTAGTGGAAGACCAGGGGGTCAGGATTTGGGCCAGGGAGGCTATTCCGGTGGACGACCAGGTGGCCAGGACTTGGGTCAGGGAGGCTATTCCGGAGGACGACCAGGTGGTCAGGACCTAGGACCAAATGGCTACTCCGGCGGACGACCGGGTGGTCAAGACTTGGGACCAAGTGGCTACGCCGGCGGACGACCAGGTGGCCAAGATCTAGGCGCTGGTGGCTACTCCAGTGGCAGGCCAGGCGGAAATGGCGGCAACGGAAACGGAAACGGCGGTGGTGGCTCAGAAGGCGGTCGCGTGATCATCGGCGGACGTGTGATTGGCGGCCAGGATGGCGGCGATCAGGGCTACTCCGGCGGAAGGCCCGGCGGCCAGGATCTGGGACGCGATGGCTACTCCAGCGGACGGCCAGGCGGACGGCCGGGGCCCAATGGCCAGGACAACCAGGATGGCCAGGGCTACTCGAGCGGCAGACCGGGTCAGGGCGGCAGGAACGGCTTTGGTCCCGGTGGCCAGAACGGCGACAACGATGGCAGTGGCTATCGCTACTAGACACACCGACCCACAGACACAATTAGCTAGAGCCCTCGAACTTATAGCAATACCTAGTTGTAAGTCCTTCTAGAACTTTGTCCATGATCTGTCCCGCATCCTTCGACATCTCTCAGTGACCATTCTGCTCTCCTTCTCGCTGTCTTCCGACCATCCATCATAACTCCTCACTTCCTCGTAGTCTTAAGTCCCCCTTGTTGTAAATGCATGTGCGAAAATAACCCAAAAAAATAATGCAATGACGAAGCTGTATCTGATGTAAGTAAAGGAAATTAAATATATATTTTTATACAAACATCTTTGTAATTTTCATTGGTCTCGAAAAGGGTGCATTATGCAGAAATACATGTTGTTTTGTTTCTACCTGATTAAAAATGGAAGTATTACAGCTTACATTAGGTATAAAGATCTTTTTAACTTTACCGACTGTTCAGAATTGAGAATTTTAGGAATCCATGATTTGTTTGTTTATTTACTAAAATTTTTTCATTTATCTTTCGCAAGCGCTCGAAAGTATTTTTATTCTTTGCCTTAAACTTATTGTTGCTTTCATTTTTTATGTTTTTATATTTTGATTGTAATTCGAAATGGAAAGTAAACTAGAAACAGTAATTCAAATATAAATTTATTTAATATTTATTTTTTTTATTAATTTTACTTAACGTTTTTTTTAGGACCTATAAATAATGATTTTGTTAATAAGTAAACTACAAGTACAACTATACATATTTTGAAAAAGTATCTTACCGTATCCGTTAAAAGAACTGGTATATCCGTGGTTCCAACCAATGCTTTACTAAGTAACAAAAAGTTCGTTTGCCGGAATCAGGAATTTTTAGTGAATTCATGGTTGGTCAGCAGTTGAGGGAAAGCCGTTTCGCCATCTGGCAACACTGGTCGGCGTCGCGCGGATCATTTTTTGCTGTTTGCTGCTCGATTTTCGCTGCTCTCGATGGAATAAACAAACCCGTGAAAGAAGCCAATAAGTGAAGTGAATAGTAATTAAACGAGCGCGGCGTCGAGCAATTAATTGAATTACAACTAATCGAATTAAGATGTCGCAGCATTGTGCCTGAAGTGAGTTAAAAGTGCTTGTTACGTAGGGCGGGGAAACTATAAATAACAATATGCAATGCTATTTCTGCTGGGCGTCTCGCTATCTTTGTCCATTTGTCGCCCCAAAGCAAATAAAACAATCCAAGTATCAAGTGCAATTGCGGTTCTTCCCTTTCGGACCGATTACGAAACTACACTAAAAGTGGGTGGTGAGTGGGTGGTAAGTGGGCAAGTGGGCGGCACGCTTTGCATACAATGAGCTTAGAACCTTAACGAAAGCAAATTGCGTGAGTGCCTGTGTATCTGTGTTTATGTTCGGCGGCTTCGCTTATTTTGCTTTTCGTGTTCAATGCTATCGATTTGTTCCCCTGCCGGCGCAGTGTATTATGAAGACTTAATGTCTGGAAATGTGAATCATCGGGGCGGTCAATAAATTCACTTAGCACTTCCTTTCTGCGTTAGATCAGGTGATAAGCTGAGTGATAAGGAGATTCACACAAAGACCCAGCGAACGCCTCTCGAAATTCAAGTGACAGCTGCTTTTGGTCAACACAGAGAAAAATTAATGTATGCAAAGGATTAAAAAAAAAAAAAGGAAAAGACTAGCGTTATATCTATTTCGGCTTCCTTTTGGTAAACATGTTGAATTATTATGTATATTATATTATTTTTAACTTGGTTAGTAACTTGTTTTTGTAACTTGAATATAAAAGTATAGTTCTGCTATTTTAATGCGCGTTGACTGCAATTTTTTAAAGTGCAGTTGTTTTTCGTGGACTTGCCCAACAGGATATGTGCGACAGATGTTTTTTCCCGGGTTACAGAGATGCTGAAATGCTGCCTCTCAAGGTTTCTGCTTCTCCCCCCGCTTCCAATTGCCTTTTGTTCAGGTTCCTTGCGATTTAAGTACAGCCACTCGAACCAGAAATTGGGTAAGTGGCTCAGTTCTAGGCTCGCTTCTCCGACTGGATGGATGCTCACCAAGTGACCCACTTTGGTGGCTCACATGTGGCGTGGATCGCATGTGTGTACATATGAACACCTCATGGAACAAATACAAAACATGAGAATAGGAGATGAAAGAAGAAACCCCAGCTCGATTGCTTGGCCTTCCTTCGCGTTCGCATTGTTTTTACGTACCCTATAAGTGGGCATTATTATATTCGCAACCCGAACTTAGCTAGACTGACAAGAAAAAATCTCGGACCCTGAAAATTACATGAGAACATTCCCATCTGTCCACATATTGGTCGAAATTACATTGAAGGTGTTCTCCAGAAAAAAAATCTTCTCTTGTGCTCATTTATCTACCTGTTTTTTTCTCGAAAACATCTCTAAATCTAAATGCCATCTGTTCAAAATTATGCACGAAGCCGGAAACGGAGGACTTTATCATTTGGATGCCATAAAACCGTAAACAGTTTATTTTTATGGCATTTTGTTTGTAGTTCTAAAGGATAATTTAGAGATATGTATGTATAAAAATGTGTGGGAGTTGCTTGTCGGAAACCGTATGGTTCCTTATGTTCTAAGCGCTTCATACCATAATCGTGGCTATTAATGAAATATTGCCTTTAAAAAAGATTATAAGTTTCTTGGGCGTATCAACAATTCTGTTTCAGGGTATCGCCGTCTTCGATCTCCAAAGCTGGGTTTTCCTGCTTGGTTTCTGCTTTGGCACTTTTCATTTGTAGTTTCTCTCTTGTTTTTAACCAGCGTAATTACATGTATTTATTCTGGCATGCATGTGTAAGCAAATAGTTAGACGTTAGAGAGATAACGCCCCTCGCTTTTCAATGGGAGATTAGCTAAATGTTTTCCCACTCGCATATATGTAGAACCTCAAGTCGAAGGTCGATCGAATTAAATGCAATGTATTTCATTTTAATCGTAATCTTTTGAGGCGGTTATTGAACCTGACAGCAGAAAATTTAAAATGCGAAGATCACTGGCGACAGCCACTCGCCGCTGACCTTGTGTAATGATATTTTTTCTGTAAATATTTCGCCACATTTTGTGAACTGCAAAGAAAGCTGCTCCAAAGATCTTTAACCCCCTTTCCTAGAACTCTGAGGGTCAGTGCGAGTCAGCGAAAAGGTTGAACTGCAAATTCTCTTGATGGCCAGTCAGTTTTCATCACTGCGAATTCCAGAGCGAGCCACAAGAAAAGAATTTATCAATGGAAAACGCCAACACAAAAAGAGACGAGCAAATAACGCCGAGTTTCCTCGAGATTATGTATAATTGTGCGAGTATGTATTCTATTTTATTTAAATACAATTGCAGGCCTGATAAACAAAAAAAAGGCGAGAAACAAATGTGATTTCCTCGAACTCTATAGCTACAGCTGTGCTGTTTGTTTTCTTTCGAGAAATTTATGTAAAAACAATAAACACACTGGAATATCTGGGGAGGAGTATCTTTAGTGGGCGGCATACCGCCTCCGCACGCATATTTCGCCATATCCCTGACCACGAAAACAACAGTATTCATTCGCCCATCAAAAGTTTACAAATTCGCATTAAAGGAGCGCGCTGTCTGGCGCGAATTATTTACATATGCCATAGATTAAATTGTACCCAGTGGGCAGAACTTTATGTACCCTCACATGAGGCGAGTTAATTGTCTGGCTTTAATTGCATTTGATATCTCCATAAAAACGCCGCGCAACCAGAAGGAAATCCAGAAGAAAATGGCACAGATTGGCGCAGATATATACGTATGTATAAATATTCGGCGGAGAGTGATCTGTATATGGAATAGTTCAAATAGTCAATAAAGTCCATTTGCTCAAAAACTTGGGGCAGTCGTCTGGCATTTTGGAATATAATTTGAGTTTGCCTTTTGTCTTGTCTACATCTTGTTTCTGTTTTTTTGTTGTTTTTTCGCCCAATTTGTTTTCATTTCTTCTATATATCCCACATATATCTTGGCTGTATATTTTTGTAAATGCGCTGCAATTGAATTGGGTTATGAGATAAATGAAATCCCAACAGACCGATACGGGGTTCACATGATTAGAATGAAATTTATTTGGCTGAAAACCGAATTGAAACAATAGGCAGTGTTCCCAACAGATAGTATCCTCTTCCGTCTTGGGGTCGTATCTTCTGGTTCTTCGCCCACTCATCGCCTCTCGAGATATTTCCGCCGCCATTCCAAAGTCGGATAATTCCATTTTGTGCAAAATAATCGAAGGAAACCGCACACAGAACCCCGTTCACAATGACAATGTGTGGACGTCATTGCGTTTGATCAGCTTTTGCTTCGAAATGATTATAACTTAATTGAAATTAATTAGACGGGGTCAGCGCAGTCAGTCTTAGAGAAATTTTATGGTGCAGCGATGGAAAGTATGTGGATAGCAGATGTGAACACACTTTGACCTTTGTTTGTTATACATTCTCTAACTTCCTATTGTTTCATTTGTGTATCTTCTCCATCATGATAATACATTCCCAATTAGAAAGGGGTAATTTTTGCCTACTTGGTTGAGTAGTGACTTGACCTAAAACCTTATATTACTCGTATGTTATGCATCGAAGCAACTGCATTTTGTTTTCTAAAAAAAAAAAAGAAAATGCCGGAAACTATTGGTGTATTTTAATTTCCTTTCCTACGCCTTTGTTGACGGGTTCGTTGAACTGGGTCGAAAACCAATTTGGTTTCTGACCGGGTGACTTGTTTTCCGACCAAACTTTCCGCTGACCGCTGCAGCCCGAGACTCGTTATCAGCGGCTTGCACCCCCGAAAAGCCATTTGACCACTCGAGAGCTGCCATAAAAGAGCAGGGGAATGGTTTCCTCGCACCGCTCGTGACTCACATGGCCCGCTCCATTGGAAATCGAGCAGCGAAGCGTGCCAGAAGCTCCGCTTCGGCTTGCCACCAGTTTTTTTTTTTTTTTCTTTTTTGGCCTTTTTTTACTACCGTTCGTGCAACACAAAAGCCACAATGCAGAACTGAGGAAAACAAACTCGGTTTCAGTCAACAAAAAGTATCTGCCCAGTGCGCGGAACACCGAAAGCCGAAACTTTATCACAAAGTTAACTCGAGTCTCGTTCATTGCAGTTTTGAAGAGCTGGTCGAAGTCCACTGACAGCCGGAGTTGGCTGCCATGATGCGATACTCGGAAATCTCACGCGACCTGTCCACGGATAATCTGCGCTACTCAGAGGTGGCTACTTGTACTTTCTTCCAGTGTTCTTTGATGTTTATCTAGGGCTCCTCTCCGTTTCAGTTGAGCAGAAAACCCGCCACGGACTACAATGGATACACGGGTCAGGCGTATGCCTCGACTCAATTCAAGCAGAGCTCACCTCCGCCGCAGCAGCAGCAGCAGCAGCCAACTCGGCTGGCCAAACAACGAAGTCCCAGTACGAACGGAAACGCCCACACCATGGCCTGTCTGCGTCAGGAGAAGGCCCAAAAGGATCAGCAGATCGAACCGCCCGCTTCGAAACCGCAGGCCAGCAAAACTCTGAATATAAAGAGCACGCGCCGCAAGAACTCCATCGGTTGTTTAAACAGTTTCTCCTCCTCGCCAGACTCGCCGGGCTGCTACTATACCATAGCGTAAGTCAATAGCAACTATAAATTAGAAGTTAAAAGATAAGTTGCTGGACTTGTTATATTTTATTAGTTATTTGAGAAAAGTACAGCGAATTAAACATATTAGGATTTATTTACATTCGCAGTATATAAACTAAATAATGTACATTAGTTACAATACACTGTTCTATGTAGTCTTTGTTTTTTGATGATTTCAATTCAAAATTTAACTACAGACTTATATTTTTTATCAAAAATTATATTGATAGAATACATAGCCTATTAACAACTAAACTTGATGTCATCTTAGCGCAAATCTAATTATATTTTGATTGGTTACTTAGAGCCTCTGCAGCACCGCCGTCCAAGTCGCAAAGTCTACCAGCCCATGCCTCAATCAAGCAGTTGGATGCGGTTATCTTGAGCGCGTTACGTGTACCCGCCGATGTGTTGGCCAATCAGATTACTCTACTGGATTTTCCTGTATTCGCAATGATCCAGCCAGATGAGCTGAGCAGTTGCGCCTGGACGAAAAAGGACAAGCATGTCAACACCCCGAACATTGTGGCATTTACCAAACGATTCAACCACACGAGCTTTTGGACAGTGCAGGAGATATTGAATGCCGAGCAGCCGAAGCAGAGAGCTGAGATAATGACTCACTTTATAAAGGTGAGAAAATTTGACAAAGTTAATAAATTTATTGGATTATTTATAATGATTAAATTGTAGGTGGCAAAAAAGCTGCATGAGCTGAACAATCTGCACTCGCTGTTTGCCATTATTTCGGCCATGCAAAGCGCCAGCATTTATCGCCTGTCGAAGACCTGGGCTTGCCTCTCAAAGAAGGATCGCCACTCTTTCGAGAGACTCAGCGATATATTCAGTGACCAGGACAACTGGGCGAACTTGCGGTCCTATCTTGAGAGCCTGCGCCTGCCCTGCATCCCCTATCTGGGTCTCTTTCTCACCGATCTTATCTACATTGACTTGGCGCATCCGCACAAGGGAGGATTGGAGCCCGAGCAGCGTCGGAATAAGATGAACAACATACTGCGCGTAATTTCGAACTATCAGCAGTCGGACTATAAGCATCTGCAGAAGCATGAGGCCACCCAAAAATACCTGACATCCATAAGATACATAGAGGAGCTGCAGAACATATTCGAAGAGGATCAATACAAGTAAGGGCGATAAAGTACATGAGTTTGTTACTTCATTTGGAGATACATACTTTATAGTACAATTTAGCTATCTGTAATAAAATTTTAGTCATATGAATTTTCCAACTGATTTAGAGTTATGTTTGTTTAGAATTATATTGTAATTACAATCTGTTTTAACTTACAGGCGTTCCTTGAACCTAGAACCTGCATCGCCCTCTGGACCCAGCTCGTCGTCCTGCAGTTCGAAGGAATCCTTCAACGTGGAAGCAGTTACTCCGGCTTTGGGCTGCCTGAATCTCTCGCCGGCCAAAACCATTGGCTCCATGCGCATGGCCAGCGGCACCAAGTTCGTTCCTGGTCATCGCAAGTGCCGCAGTCTGGGCACCAAGTAAGTAAAGGAACACCCCCCGTATGCCAAATAGCATTTGGCTTTCCTGTTAACCATCTGTTTGAATCCACCACCTCGAATCACTGCGCAATAATTGGACATATGTACACCGGGTCCTTATTAATCGTTTAAACCTCGTCTCGTTTGATCTCTGTCTCTCACTCGAACCGTTTTGCTTTTGGCTTATGCTTTCGTTTTGTGTGTGTTCGTTGTTTGTCAAACATTCACCGCCACTGCCCCAAAATGTTTGAAGATTTCGCAGCAGCAGCCTGCCGCGAAACTTTGCCCAGAAGTGCCAGTGCTGCATCGTGATGATTGCGCCGGGCATTGGCACCATCTCCAACAAGCGTTGCAGATGCCGTCGGTGAGTCCTGAACAGAGTCCTGTAGGATATGTGTTATGCCAGCCTGTAACCGATAGTGATACTGATCCGAAGCGTTATCCCCACTTTATCATTCAGTGTTTGATATGTTCCTCCTCATTTTCTTTTGCACGGACCCGAATTGAAATTGCTTCGTATGAAATACACAAAAACACGCCCCCACACTTGCCTCACCACTTCATTTGATTTCGATTTGGGATCTCTTCAGTTTCATAAGCACATATCCTCTCCACGAACATAAACCAAAAGTTTGGTCGCATTTGTTTGAAACAAGCAATCTTTTAAAAGCTTTCATCTTAGAAGTTTATCAGTAAAATGTTTAATCTGTTATTGTTAAAAAATGTTTAAAAAAATTAATTTAATTTTATTTTAAAGTATTACTCATTTCCTGGCAACTTTTTCAAGATTAAATAAATAAAATAAATCGACTAAACTTTTTATAAGTACAAAACGCAGTTCATCCTTGTTTGCTTTTAGCAATTTCATTTCTTTCCATTTGTTTGAACAGCATGAAAAGCCTCACACCCAAAAAATAAATTGACTAAAACCTGAACTTGATTTGCAGCATTTTCGGCAAGATTGCGCCACACAACCACGGCGATGGACATCCGCACCACCTGCACCTGGAACTCGATCCCAGCCAAGTGCAGCCCCGCCACCACCTGCTGGATGATTCGGTCCTGGAGCACAGTGACGCCTTGTCCCAAGCGGATCTAACATCTTTGGAAAGTGCCGAGGGAATTATGTGCGATTTCAGCGGCAGCGATTGCGATTTGATGTCGCCGGAGGCAGCGGCCGCCATGCAGGGATGTGTCCGCCGGAAGACCGTCCAGAAGGAGGGGAGGAAGCCAGCGGTGGCCTCGTGGCAACGATACTGGCTGCAGATTTGGGCCAACTCGCTGGTGTACTTCCCACCGAAGTCATTCAAGGGCAGCGAACGCAGCGACTTCAAAAGGGAACCCTGCAAAGTGTGTCCCTTGGACGGATGGTACGCCCATGTCAGCGATAATACCAAGCACAAAAACACCTTCGAACTGTGCCACCGAACCCAGGGCACCGTCTATCGCTTCCGGACGGACAGTCCCCAGATGACGCACCTCTGGTCGAACGCCATTTGCAAGCTGGCCACCATGCGCGTGCCCAAACCTCTGCCCACCAATCTGATGTCCTTCGAATGAGCTGGGCCCCCTGATCCACACAGGAACTCGAATATATTGTACTCATCTGTAGCCTAGAATACCTAGTTTAGTTAGCTTTACCCCTCGAAACGTGCACAGCCAAAAAAAAAACACCCACCAAACCACTTACTCACTCCCTGAAACGAGGCAACCACACAACATTCCCACAACCACAACGAACGAACAAATTGCAGCCTGCATCTAGATGAATCGATTTCAAAATGGTATTTCAAAAGACTGACACCGAAAGAGAACCCGAGGAAAAAGTAGAGGAGGAGCAGTAACAGAAGAGTAGCCACACAACCCACAACAACAGACTAAACCGACAACGCAGGGGAATTAGAATCCCAAGTATGAAACGGCCCTGTTTCTAAAGTCCAATTGCACTTGAGATTTTCGGAAATGGAATTGATAACATCAGACTTCAACGAATAAGCCATTTCTAATTTGGAAAACAGGGCTGTCCATTAATGTTTATGTGCTGTCTTTGCTGTATTTTGTATTGTCAAATTAAATATTAGATAAATTAATCGGACATTTACTCAAATTAAATTCGCGCTATTCGTGCCATATTAGTTCTAAATTTGTGTTCACACAACGATCATTGTTGAAAGGCAAACGAATCCGAATTCAGTTTGCCCAACTCATAACTTTGTAACAAAGAATCAAAAATGAAACGAACTTTCTACGCGTAACTAAGGGCTTTAACATTGTATCGCTACCACTATCATGATCAACATCAGTTAATCTGTAATCTGCCTTAAGTTGATGCACTAGACATAAATAGAGCTATAAAATACATACGTACCCGTACTCAGTAAGTTGCATGCGTGAATTGTAGGAAATGAAAATAATGTTAGTGTTACTGTTTTTTTCTGTTGAGACGGCCTCATGAATTGTAACTCCTAAGCTTTGTCACACATACAGATTATCATTTGCAGCGTTTTTACATTAGTTTAAGAAAGAAATGCAACAAAAACAAAATAAACCACAAAACGAAAGAAAGAAATGTGCGTTATATAAGGCGTCTAGGGCTATTTACAAGCAAATCAGATCGTGCAAAGTGCGGGAATTTGCAATTCATTCGCACAGACGCACTGAATCCCAATTAGGGAGCTCCGCTTGCTGCGAAACTGGAAACCTTTAAAACGCGAAGATCGGTTAATGGCGTCGCCAGTCGATTGCGAAACATGAAAGCGGCGAAAAGTGGCGACAGGATGGCAAATCCGTGGATTAAACTCAAGCCTCTGCTGATGCTGCTGGGATTAATGTTTATTTTAATCGGCTGCTGTCTGGGCGGCAAGACGACCACCATGTGAGAGGATTACGCAACAAGCCAGCCACTAGACCACTTTCTCTAATCCAACCTACTCCTTTCTCCCCTTCGAAAAACCCAGCGTTAGCCACACAGACACCCTGGATCCGCAGGCCGATGGCTTCTGGGCCAACAAGACCACTTGGAACGCTCGGTGGGTGAAGTACTGGCGCGCCAAGAAGATCTACGAGCCGGTGTGGAAGAAGGTGTGGACACCCACCATCCACAACGAGTGGGTTCCTCTGCCCAACGCCCCCAACGAATGGGAGGCGGAGAAGGGCCGCTCGTACCGCTGACATGAAGAGACTGAAACCATAGGATAGTGTATTTATTTTAGTTATTTATCATTTATTTTGTATTCACTGGTAATTAAAGCCTAGAGATAATTTAAAGTGGCGCCAAGGCAAATGGAAGTAGATGGATGGCCTTATGAGCTAGCGACTGGTTTACGACTATTTACAAGGAGTTTTGGACGTGGGCGTTGTGATGCAACCTCTTTTTTTTTGGTGATGCAATGGCTTCCTACGCCCCGGGAAACTTGAATGACTGCGAGGTGGCGGTGGGAGCAGCAGCCACTGGGGACTTGGCCGCCTCCAGGGACTTGGCCTGGAAATCGGCACTGGCCACTGGCTGCAGCAGAGTTGGCTTGCCGCCGGCATTGGTGTCGTCACGCTTCCACACCACCTTATCCTTCCCGTCCGCTGACTTGGTGGCCGTCACTCCCGTATCCTTGCGATCCCAATCGAATGAGTGTTCGTGATGATGGTGATCGTGGTGGTCGGGCGAGGGGAACCACTCGGAAATGACCACTGGCTTCCAGATCTTCTTCCAGCCGGGAACCCAAATCTCCTTCCAGCCAGGAACCCAAATCTGCTTCCAAGCCTCCTTCCATTCCTACAAAAATGTTTGATAATTAAGTTTTAAAAACTCTTATAGAGATTTGTTTTATTTTTACTTACCAACTTTTCAGTCCAGATCTCCTTCTTAGCTGGCTTCCAGTACTGCTTCCATGCCTCCTTCCACTCCAGTTTCTTCTCGGGCACCCAGATTTGTTTCTTGGCTGGCTTCCAGATCTTCTTCCAGTGCGACTTCCAGACCACTTTCTATAAGGTTTGGTATTAAATGGTTAAGAATGCATTGAATTAATGTAAGACTGATGTTTAACCGACCTTCTTCCACAAATCGTGACTGGTGTACTCCCAACCTTCGTGATCCTTGCCTAGATATTTCTCGCCGGGAATGCCAACCTAAAAATTAAAAGAATTCTTAAATGCTTTTTTTAAATATTAATTCTTTCATTTATACCTTGACTAATTCTGGTGTCCAAATCTGTTTGTAATCAGGTACTTGAATGTCCTTCCAGGCAGGCACTAAAATTTCTTTCCAGTGTGGCACCTTTATTAATGATAATATGATTAAGTATATGTTTGCATTTTAAGGTGACTAGAGAACCTACCCAAATTTGCTTCCAGGCAGGAACTTGGATTTCCTTCCAGCCAGGCACTTTTACCCAGTGCGGCTTCCAGATCTGTGAAATATAAAAGTGGATAAGAATCTGGTTTCACAAATAGTTCCTTTGTTTTTTAAAAATCTTCTGGAATTTTACAGGATTAATATTAAAACAACACCGGACTTCACAAACTAACAATTTAAAAAAGCTTATAATTGATTTAGGACGCATATAAGTTTTTTTGAAAAATGCTGTTCTTATAATTTGAGTGGCTTTCCCTTTCACTCACCTTCTTCCACGAAGGATTCCAGATCTGTTTCTTGGCCGGGTTCCAGATCTTCTTCCAGCCCTCCTTCCAGGTGACCTTCTTCTTCCAGTAGCCGGGGTCATGGTGCTCGTGATGGTGTTCGTGGTGCTCGACAATGTGCTCGTGGTGGTGGTCGTGGATGAGGGCATCGCCCAGACCCAAACCCAAATCGATTCTTTGCTGGGCAACGCTCTTGCTGTCCACCTGGGAAGCGGCAGGCTGCTGATCCACCACAGCCTTGGATTGACTGCCTCCGATGGCCAAACAGAGCACACCGAGCAGACCCAACTGAAAACAGAAACAGGGAGTTGTAGTTACCATCCAGACATCCAAAAGATACAAATCAAATCAAAAGACTGAGACAACAAACGCGAGCATTAAGAAAGCTTGTACAAATTGAATTCGCAACGATCATGTTAATGAATTCCATATTCTCCGAAGAAAGGTGAGTGACTGCAAACGAGTTTTAAGTGGGTCACAGTCTGGCATTGTTTGGGGAGACCGACAGAGAAATGTTGCATAACCCCTGTTGTTTATAATTTCATACAATGACTGACCTGGGTCAAGAGCTAGTTGATGACAAACTATGCCAGGCCAAAGACTTTTCGGGTCTGGCCCCTCTTTATTTGGTCAATTTGTTTTATTATGTAAATAGGTTTTCGTATTGTCAAGATAAATATGGAACTGCTGGATAAATGACGCAATGAAACTCTGAATTTGGAGAATCCAACAAGGTCAAAGCAACGCCTTCGTGATTTCGCAAAATTAGCCCGATTTGTGGGTACAATTTCAAAAGCCCACAACCTAATCCCCCAATCAATTTGCGCACAAATGTCAACGAGGGCTGGCCCGATTATGAAATGGAAATTAGCGCCAGCAAAAATTATCTCATCGAATAGTGCTAATTGTAGCAGATCGTCGATCGATCGTGTCGACTTCCTCACTTGGGTGGGCACTGGACAGTGAAAGCTACTTCGACTGGTTTCGCCTGCAGTTGGATCATCGGTCGTGAGGGAAAAGAGTTTGCCACTCCGAAGTGCACCCCATGGATACAGAGATGTGTATATGTATATCCCCCGGTCGCTAATGAAACGATCGCGATTTTAATTGTTGACAATGCGGTTCGAGTCGGAAGGGAATCGCCAGCCGGCCAATCACGGGTCTCTCAAAACTAATGAAATACTCATGTGCTGTTGACAAATGCAGACCGACAGGAAGAAAGTGCTTTTCTCGCTCAGTTCAATATCTCTAAGGAAATATTTAATGATGGGATAGATTAGAAAAGAAATGGATCGACCAAAGTATAGGATTAATTTCGAATAAATTAAAATCTACTTAAGCATTTCAAAGAAATAGTATTTGTTGTTTAACATTTCTTTCCTATTTTTGGTATTTATCAGTGGAGACCCTTTTTCGGAAAATATTTGAGTTATTTTCCCATTTTTAAATGTCATTTATAAAGTCAAATTACATCCCTTTAAACTTATTCACGCTATAAAATTAAAGTATGATTTTTTTTCCTTTTAACGGCACAATAATTACCCATTACCTCAAAATAAAATATCCAACAACCTTAAAGGCATCACAGCCCAAGGTTTTGTAATTTCCTTAGAAAAACTCACTGAAGCTTTAAATCCTTAAATGTATTGCCACAGCAACTTTACGGCCTATGCAAATATAATAAAATGATTGTTAATTTGGGATGATTGCGCCATTAGTTCCACTTGTGCAGCCGCCACCCGCAACCCATTTAAATGTTAATTTCCATTTCGCGACACTTTTTCACAGTTGCCTCATTTCATTTTTGCCTTTTTGGTAATTACCACAAAATGCTGATGGATCCTCATGGCTCCCGATTACAGCTGGGTGAAACGCTTAAGTTAAAACACTATCTGTATATGCACTATTTGGCGGTCTTTACGAAATGTATTTATCACTTTGAGCCTTCAAGATGGGCGGCTGTTACCACCACTTTGGCCACTTTCGTGGAATCGACTGTCGCGCTGAAGATCGTGCACCTACGGTTAAATACACACCGCGCAGGTGCAGCCGGCGAATGGGGAGCACTGCTGCTCCAACTCTCTCTCCGTTGCCAGTGAAAATGAGAGTTAAAACCCAGGCAGACCTTGAATTTTGATAACGGTTTCGTGTGTAAACAATGACGAAGCTTTTGCCCATGGAGCTTTGAGCCGGCTCAACTCTTTCTCTCTCTCCCTCTCTATCTCTCTTTTCTTTTTCGAGCAGCCCACTCTTTTGGCCATTTTTCAATACCTCTTTTTTAAGGCCCGGAGACGTGACTTGGTCTGCAGGCTGCTCCAAATGTTGTAATCGCCCCGAAAGCTTATGGCCATAAATGTTATAAATCTCGGTAAAGGAAAAAAAAGTTCAAAATCACCGAACACATTTAGGCAATGCAAATTAATAGCACGCAATGGGAAATCAACGAAACAAACAAACCAAAAAAAATAATAATAATACAAGTCGAAGCCTATTGCGTTTGTCGTCGGGTTTTTGTGATTATTGTTTTTTGGGAATTCTTATTGTTCAATCGTCCAGAAATCGAAGGTCGTCACGTCTGCGTTTTGATATTCCCAGTGGTGTCGCATTAATTAGATGGTTTTTAATGTAATTTATCGACCATTGAGGTCCAAACTCGGTTAAGGGCAATGCTCGTGGACGTGTCTATGGCTCAGATCCCCATTAAGTTATTGCATTTTTGCATGTGCAAGCGAGCAATGTGGCAACACTTTAAAGACAATAGCTGGCATTTCTCATTTTTCATTTCATTTTCCGTTTCATTTCCTGCCACATTTTCCATTGGGATCCGCTGCGGCCAGACATGCGGAATACCGCTCTTAAAATGGTTCGATTCATTTGGCCAAAAGCAAGTTAATTGCATGTTGATTTAATTTCGAATGAATGAGCAGCGGATGGCTCACCTGTTGGCCAGCTTATGGAGTTCCAGGTGCGTGTACCTGGTGTGGTTCCGTTTCACTTAGTGGGAAGCAATCAGTTGCATAACTTGTAAGCCTTTTTCACGGTGGAGGCCATAATGTGTCTATTAGAGTTCTCCCCCTTACAGGACTTTCACCGCAGCCTTTCTCCCTTAATAGTTGGCCATCATTTTCCGCCACTGACAGCTAGTTCCACCCTCGGTACAAGGAAGTGGCGAACATGATTCACACACCGCACCAACAGCCAAAATGAAATCATATTAATATTCATCAATTTGAGATACTCGCGCACACACACGGAGCGTGGTCCGTGTGTCCCCTTTCAGGAAGTGGCGCCACAAAACTGGACTGAAATGCGTAACAACTTGCCCATGGCCATGCGTTCAGTTTAGACCAGGTCCTCCGCCTTCTCCGCCGCCTTCTGCTCAGCCTGGTCGCAACTGCAAACTTCAAACTTCAAACTGCAGACGGTGCTGAACCACTTTTACTTTCCCCGCTCCGTTTGGCTAACAGCGTGATGTGGAGTTTTATTTATTTATTTATGCCTTTCATGATTATTCATCTTATCGTCGGCGGTAATCGGTCAATATATGCGGACTTGTAAGGGTGTGTTGTGGTTGTTTGCACGCGAAGAAACAACTGAAAGATAAACAACAATGTTTTGGGAAAACATTATACTTACACATATCCACCTTAAATTGCTCCCAATTAAATAATACCGAATCTTTTATTGGGTCTGAATTTAATTTCGATTTATGTGTTCATGTATGTTGTTGTACAAATAATACTGTGCTTAAGCGATAGCCATTCATTAAATAAAATGATCATTTAAAACAATGATTTCATGAAATTTTAGTGTATTTAAACAGTGAATGTATTTTTATTAATTGTTTTTTATCACTTTTCAATACCATAGAAATCATTTTAAAAGATATGTTACCTTTAGAATATTTTTTAACCCTTAGAAAATATTATTTTCTCTTTCGTTCTTAAAATTTTAATTTTTTGAAGGAATAAAAATTGTACATATTCAATTAATTTAATTAAATGCTGATAAGCAACTTTCAATTATTTGATTTATACATAACTTTAAATTAAAAGTAATGTATTAGATATATTTTTTCGCTGTGCCCCTCCATCCGCAATTGGTTCCGGCATGAAAATTAGAGCAACATTTGGCATGCATTTCCTAGCTCTCGCTACTCGCTGTGTTGGCTGATTTGAATTGCCAAAACGATTGGCAAAGCGATCGCAGATTGTCAGCCAGCTTGGGAGTGGGTGTGGGCCACATAACTTTGTCAGCCACCAAGGAGGAGTGGGCGTGGCTGCCGCCCACACTGTCAAATCGATGGACAATCGCACTAGATCGCACACATGCCAATAAACTGACACCTTTTTTTATTGTGGTCCTCTTACTTCCGACCGAGTTCGGCTTCCTGCTTGTCCACCGAAAAATAAGCAAATGCCGCCAAGGAAGCTGGACGAACTGCTTTGACAAAATGCGTGTGCATTGCCAATAGTCGAGACGTGGTTGTCACTTTGCCACCGCTCTTGTTTCTGGCCATTTATGGCGAAATCGGTACGACAGTTTGGGCGCCTTGATCGAAAACGATTTCCCACTTTCAACTGTTTCCGCACAAGCTTTGCTTTAAATAAGTTTAATTCTGGGACATTACATACCCATTTAATGGGGTCTTTTCCCTTGAAGGTCACCTGCCATATGTTGACACTCTTTCGGCATAAAACAAAAGACTTAAGGCACGAACCCTTCATGCAACCCATGCCCATTACAAAGCAACTGCATGAATTATGTCTTTATTATGGCCCATTGCCATAGGTGGCGATTCGATGTCATTTGAATACATAAGCAGTCGATCGACCATTAATTTGGCCAGCATTTCAATTCAGCGATCGCATAATGAGACGCACTGGCGCCTTGGGTCACTTGGACCGAAACGACTTGCGGAAATGCATTCGATAAAACTGGTTCACATTGGGTTCACTGACCCAGCTACGGGGAAAAATAAACAAAGGTGTGGTGTAGGTATCAGTTTTATGGTCTCATATTAACACTAAAATTTGAGATTCAGGAAAGTGTGTCAGAGAAATACGTAACCTTATTTAGAGTAACTAAGGAATTACACGTTAATAATGACCATAATGTATCATTAAAAGAGAAGTTCTACAAAAAGCAAATCTTTTTTCTAAGCTGAGATGACGTCAGATTGAGATTAAGATGTCTTATCGAACTTTTAAAATTATTTTTAACACAGTTAATTATACTTATTATCTTAAAAGAGAAAACCAAACGTAAATGATTTTCACTTAAAACAGTAAATTATAATTTTTAGTTTTGAACCGCAAACAAAAGATTAAACGGTGTGCTATTTATGATGCTTCCTACAACCTTAACTAATAAAACCATTTTTTTTTAATGGTCTTTAATTGAAAATATATTTTTCAAAAGGATGCAGTAAATGGTTCTGCCATATAGATACGATTATTTTAATAAAACATATTATCTTTTTGTTTTATTGCTACTTGAGGCAGAGTATAATTTAATGAATAAAAAACACGAATGATAAAAACAATATTTTGTAGAGCGGAAATATTTGAAGTATACACAGACCACCAAGACTAACACCTGTTGATTGCGAATATTCGCCGGAGTATCCGCTAACTATCTGGATCAACGGAGATGGCGAGTGCCAGTAGCTGATTTACTTCACTCGGTCAGCTGCAGTCACGCTCGCCAATTGACTGGGACATGCAAAACGACGGGCCAACGCTGATTGCATAATTGTACAACTTTCTGGCGTCGGCGGTGGCGTTACAGTCGGCGGAGCTCAAAACTCCGCACACCACATGTGCCAATCAATTTCGTTTCCGTTCATCTGGCCGGCTTTCCAGTTTTCCCCTGGCAGTCTAGGAAAATTCACTCGCCAGGGAAAGGATCAAAGGGGCGTCGGGCGCCGGAAAATCCGGTTGAGCTTTCCTTGTTACATCACAGGTTCCATCTACCGATGTCGATTTAAAGATAATAAATTGAGTGGTGTGCAATAATAATGGACATTAAATCATTTACACAATAATGGTAACCGTACCGCAACACTGACATTAAGTTGTGAGTTCAGGACATACGTTTTTAACTGGAATCAATTACCAAATGAAATGTTTGTACAATCTTTGAAACTATATTTTTTGAAAGAAAATTACTATATTTTACATAATTTCGTATTCATATTTTTCGATTCTACATCTTACATGTTGAAGTGACACCTAGCGGGAAAATCGATGCTTGTCGATTTTAACAATTTTACATTTTGCTGTTGGTGAATCGACAGTTAAATTTTTCCCCTACTTTGAAACGATCAATTTGTACAAATTTAAATTGTTTGTTCGAGAAACAAAACATAAAACATAATTAATTAAATAGGTATTTATATGATTTAAAATCCGTAAAAGCCTAATGCTTTTACCCTAACTAAAATTTCTATTTTTACTTTCTACATTTTCTGGTTGACTAGGAAGTCCCAGAATTGAGACATAGATGGCGCAACGGAAAAGCTGTTTCATAACTTCGGATAGCTGTCGCCACTGAAAAAATTCGAGTTTTATAAAATATATAATTTGGTATTGGATATTTACAATACACACACCTCAAACCTTCAAAATTATTAAACTTATCTTAAAAAGTGGAAGTCATTCGTTTGAACTTACCCTTTAAAATATTTGCCTTTGCTGGAAACAAGTTCGACCATTTAGTTTAAGTGGATTCATAGAAGAGCGGATGGGGGTGGTGGTGGTGGCGAAGTGGTGTCAATGGTGGGCCCGCCCCTTTGGGTGTGTCCTGTCTAGTGTCGCCGCACTGAAGCGAAAAGTTCAACAGGCTGCCCCACTAAATCAACAAAAACAAAACCGCAAACTGCCGATAAGCGCCGCAACATAAAGGGGTGCACCACCGCTCGAACAAGCCCCAGAGCCACAGAGCCGCAGAGCCGCTGAGCCACACAGCACCACCCATAATAACCCACAATCCACAGTGGACAGGAAACCAAC